AAGTTCATAGATTGTAATGCAGACGACCTAATATCAAACGACGAATTTCTAACGCTCCTGAACGCTTTGGGACACAGCAATACAGCACAGAATGAAAAACAATTCTTTTCCATACCGGATATTAATGGAAAAGTCGCACCAGCAGTTGTAGTTGCAAATTTCATGCGCTTTGTATTTGAAAACGATAAATCAAAGCCGGACATTTTCAAAAACTCACTTGATTCTGGTATCTAAGGTTTACACGAAAATGTGTTTAAATGTGTAAAAGTATATTAGATGTATATTCTATTATGAGGAAAATAAATATTTTCATGTAAAACAATGATTTCTGTGATTATTTATCCATCGGTTGATGAAATTTTGAATTTATGCAAAACTTGTATGTCACGATGCATTCCGCTTGTTACTCGTACCTTTCATTTTATTGTGTATGAAGTTGTAAAATTGAGAGAAACAGAATCACTGAAGGATGCCCCTCACCCACCCACCCCCAAAAAAATAAATAACACGGTGCAATCCGCTTGTTACTCGTACCTTTCACTTTCTTGTGTATGAAGTTGTAAAATAGAGAGAAACAGGATCACTAAAGAATGCCACCCCCCCCCCCCCGAAAAAAAATAAATGAAATAAAAAAATAAAATAAATAAATAAAAAATGCTGCATTTAATGATTTATAATTCACGCTGTGTTAGACATTTCGGACTTCACCTTATTACTCTTATTGAAATCAAGTTAAAAAATTTAATTTTAATACTGGTAACTTAGAATTAATATAAGAATAATATATTCTATACTGTGACCTCTAGAGGCTTCTTGAAAAAGCTATAATTTAATGAAAAATTTCTACTATAAACTTCATTGTAAAAAAAATCAAATTAATAATTTTCTTTTGAGATTATGACATTAACGATCGTTTATCTGTTTATGTTTAAAAATCTGCACATATAATAATTTTATTGTTATAAGATATTTCATGTCCTTTTATAAGCTCATCTTAATGCACACGTCACGTTGTAAGAGACGTTGTCCGGAAGGGAATTTTGAGCTCTGCGCTGCTGACATGCGTTTGCATGAGAACTACAGAGAACCGTTACGCACAAATGTTTTCTTACTTCAAGAATAGGTCGAGTTATAAGCATTTTCGATAGTAGATATGTATTTTACTTTGATATTGCATACAAACCAACTTGCGGATCAAACGAGAATGTAAGAGGATATGACATGCCAAAACCGTTGCGAACGTTTTGAAGCAACATTAATATCGAAAGTAGTAAATTTCGTAACGAAATGTGCACGGATCTTCAGAGTAGTTTTCTATCTTAATTCATACAGTTGATATAAAAAATACAAATGAAAAAAAATCCGTCTCTTACAAAGAAATCAGAAAAGTACAATACAGTTTCATTTCATGAAATAAGAATTTCATGAAATAAGAGCCCCGTTAGATGAACAGGGAAGTGTTTCTAGAAAATGTCCAGTATACACACCCCCTACGCCCCATACTACTGTTGATATATAAATGTACGAGATATTACAGCATTACGGTTTCCGCTGGTCATTTCTTCTCAGAAAGTAAATCCCCTAACGTGCTACATTTTGCAGAAGATAGAAATAGAATCAGAGCGCAGCAGATGGTGACTTTTGTATCAGCGTCATTACCCTTTTTATTGAGATGTCAACTGTTAAAGGGACGTAATTGCCATTAGGTTCTGAATGACCATGGTCAACGGGAGATAAGCGAATTTGTGTTCACTTTCTTTCTAACCTGTTATTCTTGTTACCGTATAAAACTTGGAGAACACTTTGTTCCAAAATGTTCAACGTTGATTCTTTTTGGTGATTTGTCTGAGATATTATGACAGATATATATCATGTTAGTGTGAATAAAATTTTTATAGTATTGATTATGACACGTTATGGGGATGAATCATATGTATTATGATGATGATGATGAAGATGATGATAATGTTGGAGGTGGTGGTGTTGGTGATGATGATGATGATCAGGATAATGACGACGATGACGTCGACGACGACGACGATGATGATGATGATGATGATGATCAATTTACACAACTAATCATGAGTTATCTCTGTCTAATGATAAAAGGTATGATAACAAAACAGATAAGAAAACACATGTTACTAGTTCAACATTACCAAATAATTGTTTTATTGTCACACAAAAACATATGAGTTTTGCCTTGTCAAATTTAATTGTTTTGTATTATTTCGACAATTTCATTTTCTGCACAAATGTAACGGAAATGTAGATGTGCACATTTCTATTATGTTTTTCTTATGTGTATAAATTATGGTGGCTGATTTCTGCCATTTCGTATCTTCGCCACTCAAATGTCGAAGACACGATAATTGGCATATCTATCGAGTTTTCGTGTTTCGTGTCTTCGCCCCGAAAGTCGAAATTGGCAAATTATCGTGACTTCGCTTTTCGAATTTTAGGCGAATACACGACAACACGACTAATTTAGGACGCCGATATGAAGATTTCTACCCACCAACAGGAAATTTCTGCAGAAGAAAATCCCGTAGCCTATCAAGATATCATTATTTTGCCTAAAATATATCGTGTATTCGTGTCGAAGCCCTCAAAAGTAGATGGTGAAGTCAATATATGAGAATATAATGAGGTATTCGCCTTCGACTTTTGAGGGGCGATTACACGAAGACACGAAAAGGCAGAAATCAGCCACCATAATAAACAAATGTAAATATTAACAAAGAACGAAGGAAAACTCGTTAAATAGCTACCATCAGTATTATCATAACAGGTGATACTCATTTACAAACATGAACACACCTGCAAATACATTTGAATTACAAATACATTAAAAAATGAAAATGGAACATTAGAAATAAAGTAAAAACCTTAAAGAATTTAATACTGACAACACTGATCAAACTGTAATATTAGTATTAATTAAGCCTTATGCATGGTAATGTTATACAAAATATAACTGCAATATGCAGATCAGAAACTAACTTCCAAGCTTTAGCACCTCGCTCAAAATTGTCAGTTAATATTTGTCCTTGCTTGCATGCACGAACAATATTTGTAATGTATTTTGTTAAATAGCCCGCAGTAGTATATTCTTACTAGAATCAAAGGGATGCGAGCTCTTGTGGTATATTCCGATTTCTGCAATGTAAATCGTACTGTATACCTGTATGTATTTTGCTGAATAAGTTTATTTTGAAATACTAAAATTCACCGAGTTGCAGCGACTGCGTTTAGAATTTTGCTTTAACGGTTTGAGTTTGATACATACGGAATTTTGCATGACAAGAGTTTCTACTTGCATCATGAAATCATTTATGTTCATTTTTATGACACCCACACTTTATCCTTGCATATACTGGCTAATTCTTATAAAATCGCTAAAACAATATAGTTGCCACGACTAAAATTTGAACTCCTCTCACATTGTAAACGAGCGTGTAACCCCTCGGCCACGGTGATGTTATAAAACCATATTATTCTTAATTTAGAATCTCAATTTATGGTTTGTAATTCTCATTAATTTCTAGGTTGACCTGTTGTTTATCGCTAATGTTAATGTTTTGGCGAAAATCTTCTGTACTTTAAATATTTCACTACTCGCCAGTGAGATTTATTTGTGTAATACGCGCAAAAGTATTCGGTATTCGACAGCGCTAAACAAGCATTTTGTTTACGTGGATTAAATTTTCGGGGGCTTATCTTATGGTAGAAATTGATTATCGATCGTCGACTGCCCTAAATTTGTCCCCGTCCTAGAGTCAACATCCTTACTTTATTTTTCATAAAGTCTTAATACCTGTTCATTCAGGGGCGTTTAATTCCGATCACAAAAATTCGAAGCTTTACGGAAATAGCCGAGCCATTTTCATTGATTAAAATTATTTTCATCAGCGTATTTTTTTTGTTGTGCATTTATTGACAATTCAATAATCCAAAGCTACTTCTAAACTATGGATACGTGCTTATTTGATGGATACTTGTAACAAAATAAAAAAAATCTTTCTTTACAATCGCTAGTTTTAAGCTGTTTTGAGAACTACTTGTTGTTAGGTTTCTCGGTAAAAATTGTGCCTAAGGTTGATTGTCAGCTTTGTATTTCCTGATCTGCGATCAGAAAATACAAAAAGTGGCAAAATATAGTATGATTTAGTCACTAAAAACCAAGCTCCACATTTGAAAGGCATAATCCTATTTTTTCAATCTTTTTGTATTAGATTGATGTTGCTAGCATTACTCATTATGGCTGTGAAAGGTAACTCTGTGAAGTTAAAAAGGTTTCTTACAAAATCTTAATCAAATATTTATATTGTTTTTGATTAAAGGAACATTAAGGCCCAGAAACGTTATTTTTTCTCATTATGTAAAAAGAATATATGTATATGTTTTATAATGTTGATATAATTAATTTAGAATATATGAGGTTCATCTGAAGAAAAGAGCGTTATGTGTGGTAGTTGGCACAATTGAAAGAGACCGGCTTTTTTACTTCCAAAGAAAGCGGTTTATAAATCACTATATAGCAATACTTATAGCAAAACCAAGAATCTATAGATAGTTCCGTTTTATGGCCAGTCAGATACATCTTGGAAATTGTAACGGTATACATTAAAATAATTGGTTATTAATTCTCTTATCAAGTTTCTTTTGCATATGAATCTTAATTAGTATTTAGTGTAATCATGATTTTCATTTTGCAATGCATACATTTTCACCTTAAGTAGTGCAGTTACGGATTGACTCTTTATATAATTTTAAGGAGTTAACCCGTTACTGCACTAAGTTGACGATATTCCATACAATGGAATCTCAATATGTTTTACTCACAGTAAAGAAAAAAAACACCTTTAAAATTTCTTGTGTATTTTTATGAAAGACAATATTTTATGCACTACATGTTTTGGTTGTTTTATCATAGTTGAAGTACTGAATATTTAAAAAAAAAATCTTTAGTGGTATATTGGAACAAAACGTGTTCGCAAGTGAAGTGCTCGTATAGATTCCTCTACAGTTAAGCGATATTGATAAAGAAATAGTGAGTGGGAGATAAAGAGAATAAGTTTAGTTGTATACATTTGTTAATGAAGGACATAGTCGACATGTGTCTAATACCTTATATTACGGCCAATATCTTACTGGCTTTAATTTGCAATGGTAAGTAATTTCTTCTTTTAACAAATCCGGTGCTATCGTCTGTCTGTGAAGCGTTATGAGCCATAGAAATCATAAACTTGTCAATTCAGATAAAACAATTTTCGACATGTACATTGTTACATTGTTTTTCGTTTTGTAAAAACCACAGGACGTTTTTAACACATATGTTATCCAAGATTAGAAGAAGACACCGAACCATATGTCAGTTCTTATTTGGAATTTCGCTTATTTAATTGTTATACAACTTAGTAATGATTTGCGTTAAAAAGTCTTAAATCAGCACGCCTCACGATTCATGTTAAGTTTCATGAAAATTTTGGAAATATAATTTTTAAATTAAAAGTAAAATATTGTGAGATGGACAAATAAAGCAATTTACATATTGCAATCGGCACTTACAATCCAAGAAAATGACCAAAAAGTGGTCACACATTGCAAAAACAGCCCTCACTGCATTAATAACGCAGTAGAAATATGGTGATTTAATACTGCAAAAGATGTCTTTAACCATATATAACATGTAAAATATTCCTTGGGTCTTAAATTAATTTTTACCTTTCTTAAAATTTTAGTACATTTTTCTCAAGTTTGATTTTCCTGAAATATGTTGGCTCATCTAAAGACGTGCAGCTTTAAAGATGAACAGTTTCAAGTTGTTTTCAAATTTCATTTTTCTTTTTACTTCTAAAAGCTGCTGCGGTTTCTGTTCTGTCCGAACCAGAGGATGGAAAGGTAAATATAACTAAATTGTTAAAGGGAGACACACGCAAAATTTAATAATTTCTTCGTTTTGAATGTTTTATTCATTATTCTGTAAATGTCCACAAAATTGATACAACATGCTTAGGCTATAAAAATGTCTTTTTAGCGTAATATGAGTACATGAGATCATTTTAATATTTTTGTCATTATTTTGCCTGAGTATCCCTGTCTATCAATAGACAATACATAAAAGTTATATTGCTGTAACGTTAGTTACATAGGGGACCTGTGTTATGCTTTCATACTTTTCTTGAGTAGATAAAAAATGATAGGGTCACTTGGAGGCTGACACTATGTTTATGTCTCGTACTCAAGTGTAAAATAGATTTATTTATTTCACCATCAAGCTGAAGTCAGATTTCTGTACACAATGTAACTTGATGTTCAATTGTCTGACTTGATATTTAGAATACATTGAATTATAAAAGCCATTAATACACTTGTTACTATATATAGTACAGAAATTGCCTATGATTTCAACTGATTATGAGTGTCACGTGACTATTATGAGTTTGCAGCCCGGGGCCGAGAACTAGTTATCAGCCCGCAGAACATGTGCACGTGCACAAACTGAAACAATGACGTCATATTTTACGTCATCAAACAGTAAACGGTAAAAGTGAAAGTAGGTTGTCAGCACGAATCGCTTTATTTCTATTATGAGAGTCAAGCGTATTAAGTACAAACACATTTTTGTTACTGTTGAAATTTGAAGAAATAATACGACAAATTCATCCCGAAAAAAAATGAAAATAAAACTTGCTTCTAGATTCTACTGCTTTGAACACACAAACAGTAAACGTCTCTGTACAGAACAGTAGAAGAGTAGACAAGAATTTCAACGAAAGAACTTCAAAGTATTTGTTGTTGTTTTTTTGTTTTGTTTTTTAAAAATGCTACTTTTAGATCTACCAAGTGTATTAAAGACATTAATACACGTCAGAGTAGGGCCGGAAGGTGATAATCGACCCTGAATGAATAATGGCACTCGGGCTAAAGCCCTCGTGTCCATTATTCATTTTGCGGGCCGATTATCACCTTCCGGCCCTCTCCTGTCGTGTATTAACCTCTTATTTATTATCTTCAGGCAAGCAGTTACCTTATTGGAAAGTGGAGACTTTGGTACACCTTTTTCGATGTTAATTATGATGGGGTCATATCTATTGACGAGTTTAAACAATATGAGTAAGTGTGGAAACATTTCTAATCAAAAGCATCTTTTTTTTAAAAAAAATGGGCAATACTGTATCTCTGAATAAGAAAAATGGCTAATGGCAATACCATAATTGTCGAGCAATTTCTGCAGTTTCTTCACAAGTGCTTATTTCACACTGAGAGCTTTTCAAAGTATCTTAATTGTTCCGTACTAAATACATGTGTAGTAAGTAGCGTTACGTGTCGTCATGTAATAATTCGTCTTTATATAGGCGTATTGATGGTAAATCAGTATACAGGAAATGTATATAATTAGCATTATTTCGTTTACATATTTCAATTTCAATTTATTAATAAGACAATAATAGTTATATTCTGTATCAATTTGTGGGAATGAGCAATTCATCAATATTAGGTGTTGATATTTATAATATTTATCTAAATGCTAAAAAAACCAATATTTTTGTTTATTTTTTCTAGTTTTATATTCGACAAAGGTCTAGATAATGTTAATAATGGACAACTTAAGACCAAAAAAGTTAGGTTTTTCAAGCTATGGAAGACGGTTGTCTTAAATAACAAGAAAGAAATCTCGAAAGATGAGTTCACAGCATTGATGACGCAAAGATTTGAAGCTGACAAAACTGGCTTCATTGATATGATAAAAGAATATGAACTGGCATTGTGCAAATTAGTAGACATAAACGGAGATGACTTCATATCAAGAGAGGAATTCGTGATGAACCTTTTTGCAGTAGGACACCGTAATAAGACTAAAGAATTTTTTCTCGCCTTTCTGCCTAAAAATGGAAAGATTCACGTACAAAAAATAATATCTGAAATTATACGATTTACAACTGAGAATTTTGAGTCAACAGATATTTTCAAAAACGAATACGAATCAGACATATAAACATATAAAAAAAGTTCAAATCATTTATTGAAAAGGTTCCGTTCCTTGAAATAAAGTAAAAACTAGATACAAATGTTAGTTATTTTATATTAGATGAGTTGCATTTAGAAAATATTAAATAATCGGGTTGATACCTCATTTGTTCCGTTCCCACAATAAAATGACCTCGTTATTAAATCATTTTGTTCCTATCAATTATGGTTTGACTATCGTTATGAATTACCTCCGCGTAAAAAGTATTCAATTGGCTAGAATCATTGTCAACTGCTATGACACTTAGTGTTAACTATTATTTACAATGTTAACAGTAGAGTCTTTAAAATGACAGGTTCTCACCGTAAAGAATCTGGTTTTTACATTGTTGATGGAAAAACAGGGATTCTGCACACAAGACTAACAAGTTCCAGTAATTGGTAGCTTGCACTCCATTCAGTGTTTACAATTTGAAATATCGTAATGTTCAAATCAAAGTCTTCCATTACACATATAAACAAAAATGCAAATCAAAGCCATAAAATATACCTTATTCTATCATTTTAAAGAACAATGCAACATTGCTAAAAAATCTTTTTCAGACAAAGTACATCATTTAGTCAGCAAAACAAAATAAAATATTTGAACCAGATGATAAGTGTAAAAATTATACCAAGAAAAAAGGGTTGAGAAAAATTAAAAAATGAAGCATTGACTATGACAAAGTCATTTGCTAATTTATTTGTATTAGAAAATCTAAAATGAAAGTCAACGTATTCGTATATCCAGAAAATGCTTTAAAATTGTTGCAGTCATATATGCAATATGCGTTAAAATATGTTAACATTTACAAACACATTTTTAAATATATTTTACTTCTAAAGTGGCTGTAGGCTTTGATACAATTGCTATGATGTAATACAACGTCATTGCTTCTTTCCCTATGCAGAACGTGAAAATCTTAAAGTCCTACCTTTTGCATATCTTTTTTGTGCGTAAAAATGGCTTTACCTCCTTATGTAAATAAGGTTTAACTTTTAAATATGAAAACGCGAGATATATGCGAACATTATATGTTTGAAACTTGTAATGTAAGGATATGACATTTTTATGAATCATTAACTAGTTTATAATTAGCTAAACATTGACCATGTTCTTGAAAACATTATCATACAGCTGGTTCTATCAAAACACAACTTCCAACAAAAAACAATATGCGATCACAAAGCAAGTCGACGTGTTCTATACTAAATAAAAAGTTTTAAGCAGAGATCCAACACACGATACATATTTTGTTTGATCACACCGACACATTATAGGTCATTTGGCTACGTTCCAGCTTTACTGGTTGAGGAAGATCTCTTGTGCCCCTCAGTGCATTTTTTTCAGGCACGGACGGGTACCTGAGTAGATCCACCTACGATACATATCTCACGTACGTAACTGTAAATATCATAAAAAAACTCATTACTAATGAAACTTTAAACACGAAGGAAAAATATTTCTTAATTATGAAAATAAAATCAAAACCCATGAAGATAAAGAACAATGTGTTGCTTTTTCCTAATGAAATGAAAAGGCAAAGCAGATACTTAAGACTGGTGAGGTCATTTCAACATCATCGATTCCCGATTTCTTTTTCGTGAATTGACTAATTTAATTGAATTCCTGAAGTTAAACTCGTGAATTAGTGAAATTGAATTCGAGAATTCATGAAACTGAAATCGTGAATTCATTAAGCTGAAATCGTGAACTCGTGAATTTCGCATGTTGAAAACGTGAATGCACGAAGTTAAAATTGTGAATTCACAAATTCATGATGTTGAAATGTCCCCGCCGATCTTTCGTATTATCGTATTCAGTAAAGACAATGTGAAACCCTGATCAATATACATGCTTTGTGATGCAGTACAATGTATAACAATTATAATAACATAAATGAATTTATAAAATGAAACATCTGTCCACAAAACAAGCTTCCCAGAAAATTATCAACAACGAATAAATATCATGTGATCCATTAAAGAATCGTAGGCTATTATTACGCATTTTAATTCTTTAAACAAAGAACATTGTATAATGCAGATGGTTTGCTTACAAAGTTCGTGATAAATATACATGTATATTATATGATTTCAAAAATACTGATCATCCTAATGATATTCACGTGGTCAACATGCTTCAGCAGCAGGCCTCCAAATTGTAAAATGATATTCAATATTACTGGCCGTTTAATTCATGAACCAAAGATGACAAAATATTCTTGTGACATTGACAATAACGGAAATCTAGCGGAGATGTAATTTTAATAATAATGCTTTACTAACTTAATTACAAAAGACAATATCAATTAGAAAAAAGTGAAATAACTTTGCAACATGAGTTTAAATATTTAATATAGCAAATGATGCAGCTGAAAATGGCATGAGTAAATACAGGTAGCTACAAGAAAAGAATTGATGCAAAACATCAAAAGTGACGCCGAAATATATTTGATCAAGACTTTCACCTTAGTACTTTACAGAACATGTATATTTTTTTAAATACCATTGTATGTGACCTTGAGGCTAGGATGATCTGTCTTCTCAAGATGTAAAGACAATTTATAGTCAATTAACCAATTACTTATAAGACTCTTTCCATAAAAGAGAATATTTTTCAGATTTATTTTACCAGATACAGGGATACCGGAGTCATCAGCATATCATGAAAGCTAATTGCTTAGGGTTACAGACATGTCATTGACATATATAAGACATATTAGGGGACCTAAAAAGAACCCCTGGGGGACACCATATGTACTCGGATCAGCCACATCCACCAGTTGCTGTCTTTTAGAGATTAGACTTGAACCAGGTAAGAATAACCTATGCCAGATGCTTGAAAATGCATGTGCGGTGTTGTGTGATCAACTGTCTCAAATGTCTTTTGTAAATATAAAGCATCAATCATACAATACTGCCGTTGTTAATTTCAAACAATCTGTTGAGTGAATCAAACATGATTCAGTTGAAAAACCACTTCTTAACCCTGATCGAAACTGCCTGACCATGACTCGAGTCCATGACCGTCAGAAGACAAACTGGGCTATCCGGCCGGCTACATATGATCTCTAATACAACGTGCCTAAATTACAAGACACAGACACAAGCGCAACAACTTTTTCCACCATTTAAAACAAAATGCCACCATATTAATGTCAGTATAATATGTCATATTAAAACATTTACGTATTATCTTAAAAAATATCAAAACTTTTCTTCAAAAGGTCACTATGTTTGCTATTTCATTTTTTTTTATTAAACAAAATATATTATTGAAATTTAAAAGTTAACACATTTCATGGCATAAGAAACGATACGAATGTTCTTGCTGTGTCGACCTCTTAATCTTGTAGCACTCCAGAACTTATCAAATACTCTTATGTTCTAAACTAATAGTGTAGTATTTCCCATTTAATAATTGTATCCTTCTACAATATCGAATTCTGATTGCCTTTGGTCTTTTTGTTGTTCTACTAGCTATCTTATACTGTTATCTTAAAATATTCTTTCATTTGCTTCATTTTCTTCTATTGTCATCTTTGTTTCCCATTATGATTTTAATACCTCCATTGTTGCTGGGTTTTTTTTCAAGTTAATCATTCTATAAGTAAGCGTCGTTCTTTGTCTTCCCTTGAATTCATTTACTGTCACAGTCATTAAGTCTACATGTTCTCTGCTTCCGTGCATTTTTCTTCTAGTGACTCCTCTTTAATTTCCTCAATACTTTAGCTGTCTTTTCTGAAATTACTTTTCTCCTCTTATCTTTCTTTTATCTTCTTGCCTTTGACTCTCCAATCTGTTTGCCCGCTTCCACTTCACTGTCTTGTTTAACTGTCGCTACATATACCTCTATCATTTCTGTAACTTTTACCTTTACAAAGTTCCTGCTCTTTTCCATATCTCTTGTTTGTGATCAGTTAAGCTCTCTTTCTGGTTTTTCGATAAATTGTAGTCATATTTATGGGCATGCCCTCTGGTATAAGAATATGAAGAACATTATAATCACGCTCCTCACTAGTGCGGCCACGATCTCTTAACCCGGATACATGCATTTTCCCTTGTACCTCTCTTTATATTTTCTTCCTCTTTCTGTATATATGTTTCCTTTTCATTATTGCCAATACCAACCAACTAATTTTCTTGATGTAAATAATATCGGTGCAGTGTCTTAACTGTACCAACTTGACATGTAATTTCTCAAACAGTTATAAGCTAATTCTTTTACTTTCTCTTTCTCATTTATAGTTAAGCTCCTCAAATCTTTCTATCTCATTGTGTGTTTGTTGTCAATGTTGTTGTTGTTGTCGTTGTTTGTTTTTTGTAGTTTTTTTTTTGGTTTATTTTTGGGCGGGTTTAAGGCGGGGAGGGGCTCGTGTTAAGTTTTGTTTTTGTGTTGATTTGACCTAGCAGACCACTTGTTTTTTTTCTTTTCTCTTCCCGGTTCTTCATTTCCGTTAGTTACTGTTTGAAATATATTGGTCCACCTTTGGGTTCATTTCCAATTTTAATGCATTTATCGGTGGATGTTTTGAACATGTATTTGGCCATGCCTAAGTCAGAGAAGAAGACGTCAAGCATATGCTGTATGCAGTGAAGTAATTCAGGTGACAGTTACATGACTAGATAGATGCAAATTTTGACAAAGGGAAACCCGATAAAAAAAAACCTTAACGGACTTCTACATCACAGATGAAAATCTTTCATATGCGAACTAGTGACAACAGACTAAATGGTGTTAACTTGATTAAATTCAGTTCAAAATGACAGTGATATCAAACAATCACAGTGGAAAATATACAATTAAAAAACAAAAACAAAAAACACACACAAAGAATTTATAAATTGATTTATTAACGGACGGAACATAGATGAAACATTATTCATTGCAGTACTGTAATGTTGAAAATGATAATGTTCAATCACCACAACAAAAATGTGCAATTTGACTGTAAAATCACAAGTTCTAGCAGTCATTAAGGGACACCCATTGAATAATTACTTTTTCTTTTATACAAAAGTATAATATTGAATTTTGTTCTGTTATAAATAATAACAGATTATTATTAGAATTGGGTGAAATTGATAATGAAATGTTATTGTTAGGTCATTAGAAATATCATTTTAATTTTGAACAGAATGTAATAAATTTAACATCATTTTTGTCGCAATATTGCTCACATTACTTTGTAGTATATACTATCGATAGATCTTTTTCTTACAAAAAAAAACAACATGTTTTCTTGTTGTGTGGTTCCAAAATTCCTACTTGAATAATGTTGAATCACCCTATTTTGTTCAGTTTCGCCCATTGTTTTCTCGTTTAAGGCACACGCTTTTTATTACTTGGGGACCATAAGCCGCTTTTCATGGAATGACATTATTGTGTTTCATTGAAGGTTCCATGATAACCGCCGTATGAACACATCTACGGATATTTCTAAATTCAAAATTTTAACTTTTTATGTTTAAATGATAAATTCTGCTTAAGACGGTGCTAGCGGGCGTGGACGGTGTACCGTCCATGATCAGGCTAAATCAAACCGAGCCTTCAACATTTTCAGTTTTGCCGTAATGAGCTCTTTTTTTTTCAGGGATTCTTATTTTTTAAATTTTTTTTCAGCTCATATTGATATACTTTTTTATACGATGTTTTTGATTGCTTAATTATACATATAACTTCCATAATTCAACACTTTCATTGCAACGGTTATAAATAAATTATATCGACGCTTATGATGTGGTGTAAATTTAAGGTAGTCTAATTTCACATCTTAACATGGGACTGCATTTTGTATGATTCATGAATCAAATGTGTTTAAAAGGCAAAGGCAGGACGCCTTGATAATTCCTGGAAATGTTAACTTAATCAGTTTTGCATAATGTATGTATAATATGACAAAAAAACAAATGAAATGCTCGTATAAATTGCTGTCCATTTGAGCATTATTTTGTAGACAGGAGAAGCGGTGAACAATTGTTTGCTAGGAAAGATATTTATAATATTCGGAATATGCTTTATGTAACAGTTCTTATCGTATTGGCATTAAGTTGTAGTGGTAAGTAAGTGTTGGGGTTTTTTTTATTAGTAAATTATGAATACATTATTGACACACTATCTGAAAATTTAAATCTTGATTGCATCCGAAAAGGCACGATAATTAAGGGAACAGTTTTAAAAAGTCAGGGCTCTGTGGTTCGAGACTTACTGTTAGTACCAATGATATTTTTCTCGTTCTTTATTTTGCAGTTTATTTTAAAAGAAATGGCAAACATGCAAACATGCAGCGAAACTCATTAATATATATGTTTTGTCTTGTTTGTTTTAACATTTAGTGATTTTAATTCTATTTAATTTTAAATATTAATTCTTAAATAGAGTATATTGTATGAATGCAGATTCAATATTGGGTTGACTGAAGATAGCGAAAGAGTTGAATAAAATTATATACTGCGAGTCCCTGGCGAGCATTATTATGTTATTCAACGAGTTCAATATCTAGTCGAATATAATATAGAAAAAAAATATTGAATGAGTGTAAGTGCAATACTGAATTTATTGCACAAGTTGAATAAGAGGCTCGCATAATATTATTTTATTCAACGAGTGCAATAAATTTGGTAATGAACTTACACAAATTTAATATTTTATTTATCACATACCCAAAATAAGGACCGTTTAAAGTGAAATAAGAGTCATTTTTCATTGACGCGCCTATAGTTTAACGCTAACATTTAGCGCGTCATTACACTATGTTTGTATAACGCTAATGACGTCAGAACAAAATATATGCACGGCCGTGCAATACCATATTTACGGAGTCGCAAAATCGGCACGGGTGTGTGATAAATAGAAATTACTGACATTGTGCTATACCTCCTGAGTATTCTTTTTATGTTCCAGAACTTTACTGTTCGTATAATCAGTATGCAATTGACAGGCTAATGAAAATTAACGATACATTTTTACGAAAACTTGTGTTTTATGTCGATGCAGTGTCTGTTCTTTAGTGTTCAAAAAAAATTCTCATGCTATTTTTTTTTTGTTCAAAAAAAGTTAAACAGAATATTTTTCCTACACATTCATTAATTACCTTTTATTAAAATGTTGCATCTTTATTTAAAATAACAATACATCATATACAAAGTCCGTCAGTTTTGCTTGTTCCTTTTATTATGTTTAAAATAAATATTTAAGTATATTAGTTATTTATAATTACTTATAAACAGCTTTACAAACGGATTGAATCCATGAATTTAAGAATGGAAGATACCAAATATATCAAAGCATTAAAACATTATAGACACCATTTCATATAAAGCCGTTCTGCAAACAGTTTTTGACTAAAATATTAGTCTTTTAGAGCCGCAGTGACTTGTAGCACTTGTATTTGTTGTCTCTTCTACTTCTACATTTAGGCGTTGATATGTTCATCCGTTCAACACCACCAGAAAGAAAGGTAAATATAACTATACTTCTTACTGAGTAACAAACACTACATTGAAGTTATAATTCGTTCTGCAATATGTAAAATGAGACAACTTGATGGTTGACAATTGTGGCATTTGCTACTGTGATACAATTTATAACTTATCTTTAAATGTTCGGGTTACATACTAACACATCTATGAAAAAAATATATTACACTATAAGAATTGTCCTATGATACATACATGCTAATTCATTTCACAATACAATTATATGCGGCAAATGTCAATGTCTCTGCAATATTGACCTAAGATTTTTGTTAGTTTCCGTAATCCATTTCGATTTTACTTATTGATTTCTAATGATAGGAAAGTTCTCGATTCTTCATCAAGTTTCGCAAAATATTATTTAAAAAAATCTAAGAGTCTTAAAATCTTATCGCCGGGGCTATTTAGGCACGTGTTGCTTCGGTAACTTTAAGTAAGACATACGCAGCCATAATTTAAAATCCGTATAATTTACTTCGGAATCCGACGACTAACGGCAAAAGGTCATTGAATATTCAAATGTCTCAGTTAAATATTGACAAACAATAACGTCTGTTCATACTAGACTTGTGTATTATTCATATATTAAGAAGTATAAATGCTTGTCAGATTGTAGAATGGACAATTTTTTTTATAGATGTTACCGGAACGCGGCAAATGTGGGATTTTCCGAGCTAATCTCTCGTTACATACAACCTTTTAGCATTAAAGCTTTACAAATACGTCAACACTTATTTTCAAAGATTTAACTGTAAAAGATTGTTTTTATCCCCGGATTTTCTTAGAAAATCCAAAATATTCTTAATTTTGGAGTAAGTATGTAATTGTAATTGTCATTATCTGTGTTTTAAACTGTTAAGAAGTACAATTTATTGTCTTCAGGCGAGCAGAAACCTTATTAAAAAATGGGGACAGTGGTATACATTTAGTGACGTCAATCATGACGAGGTTATATCAGATGATGACTTCGAACAATTTGAGTAAGTAAAGAAATATATCTTATTGTAAAACCCCGCAATTAGTGTCAGAGCAGAACTTTAACTTAAAGATCCTGTAACTCAATTTCTTTTATGATTTTTATATCATAAATATAATGCTCAAATGAAAATTTATCAATTATTATAATGTACGTTCCAAAAAGCATTATTTGTTAAGGTATTACAGTATTCACATGTCATGTTAATAAAGGGAGGTAAGTAAAATTTATTTTGTATAAAGACTAAGTCAAATTTTTCAATAAGAAATGAATGCATATAATTTAACGAATACATATAATGTGGACGAATATTTGCAGTACATATTTTATATATTCATCAATGTTTAAAAATTGTTTTAGAAGCACAATTATATACATACATAAAATTTCACTTAACAAAAGATGGTAACAACGTTAATTACAACAAAATCAGAGAAAAGGGAAATTGACTTTATTTGTATCACCTTGCTTCTTCTAAAAAGCAGATATTACTTCTTCAAAAGAACTCTGGACTTTCTAGTGATGTTTTTTCCATACAGCATAATATATATGGTCTGAGTGTTAAAACGTTAGTAGTAGCTAGTAACGTGTCGACATATGATTATTTAAATTAATAATGACGTCATTATGGTTCTTTCCTGAGCAGGATCAATTATACCGAGCCTGTTTCATTTTCAATTTTGTCGTGTTGCGTGTTCTGTCCGTCTCTGCGTTTATCTAAAGATGTCTCTCTATTCCCTCTGATAAACTTGGCAATTTATCTTACAATAGGTGATCATACTATGTTTTAAGAAGCACAATATACGGGACAATTATCATTAAAAATGTAGTAAAACGTGATTTAACAAATATTTCATTACTTTTTCCTAGCCATAATTTCTACGAACGCCTTGGTAATGTTAATGATGGGCAACTGAACACCATTAAAAGGCGATTTTATAGGATATGGAAGGAAGTCATCTTAAATTACCAGAAAGAAATCTCGAAAGATGATTTTATAGAGATGATGGCGCAAAGATATGATTTGGACCAAAAGGCCTTCACTGAAATGATACGTGAATTTACAAAGGCATTATGCAAAGTAATAGACGTAAACGGGGATAACTTTATATCAGAAGAGGAATCCATGACGGACCTTGCTGCAGCGGGACACAATAAGATGACAGAAAACAAGAAATTTTTTATGACATTTCAGCCAAAAAACGGAGTGATTCCTGTAGAAAAAATTATCACGGAATTCGCACGCTCTGTAACTGAGAAGTTTGAGACAAAACCGGATCTCTTCGAAAAAGCATACACGGATCTGTAATTTAAACAATAGTTTTGCTTCATAAGTTTCACATTCACTATTGGAAAAAGAACTTACAATAAAGCAACTAGTAGATACTATTTGTAGATTATAAATCATTTTCCAGGGGGTCATAGGTCTGAACTGAAATTTGCTGTGACCAATCTCTTTGGACCCTTAATGACATTCTATGTAAGTTGTTATAAGTCCCCTAGCTATCCGTCTCGGGTCAGGGACACAGTGAAAAGAAAGAGGTTCACTTTTAAATGTTGATACTAAACAAACTCTTTGCTTACATGAACATATTCTCACATATTCAGCTGGGTGTGAACTGGTGTTGGCGTTTGCTCCTTAAGAGCATTTTATGCTGTTATACGTTATTCAAGCTCCTCTCAGGGATACAGTGGGGGGGGGGAGGGTTACATGCAATTGGCAATAAACCTCATGCCGGTATATGTGTCCTTAAACCTACTGAAGAAGACGAGAGTGGCGAGAGTGGTCATTTTAATTCAGTTTTCCTAGTCAATTACTAATTACATTGTACTGTATATTTGAAGAATGCAAGTGTTCAAGCAACCACTTCAATCTGTGAACATATTTTGTCTTTTGTTACTCCTGAATCAAAATATAAAAACCCAGACCTTAGATATTTGACATATAGCATCAATTTGTAGTATTCTACAAAAGTTATATTAATCATGACCCTAAGATTAAAATTGCCCCTGCCCTTGGGGGTCACGTGCGTCATATAGACTTATATTAATGTTTATAAGAAGCACATCAAACAATTTTATGGAAAACAAAAAGGAGCCTATATATTTTTTCATATAACATTGCCTAGTAGACATCTAAAAAGGTTTATTGCACCTATGATAAAAATGTTTCCATCTTGTGGGTCATTTAGTATTATAAATTATAATAGCTACAATGATGAATTGATATTTTTCCTAATTGAAAGAAGAGCCAAAAGTCGAGGCTTACCATAGGTGGTTACTGTGGTAGATTGTATCATGTATCTTCCCTGACGTACGTTTTTAAGTTTTTATTCCAATTTCTTGATTTTCATTTCAAATATTCTAGTTAGAAAGAATATTTGATTGACAGAGCTACAAGTGATGTTTCTTTTAAAATTTCGTTATACCCACCAGACACCTTTCTTTTCTAAATATCTATTTACAACCTTACCACGTTTTCAAATATGTTTTCCCCAGCTAACCTCTCCATTTTGTTTTCAAATATGCTACACTGTCTAAAGTATATATACCCATCTTTTATGTGATACAAACCCAACATCTTATGATTACTTATTTTAGTTGTTTGTTTTTTTCAAATATGAATGACCATCTAACTACGTTTAAAGATAGGTTTTTACAACTATCTAGCTACTTTTTTATTTTTTTTTAAAAAATCACCAAAGCCTTATTTTATTTTCTGGTCGCAGATCAGGAAATACAATGCTGACATTCAACCTCAGGCACAGTTTTCCCCGACAAACCTAACAACAAGTAGTACTCAAAACAGCTTAAAACTAGCGATGTGAAAGAAAGAAATATTTTTATTTTGTTACAAGTATCCATCAAATAACCACGCATTTAAAGTTTAAAAGTAGCTTTGGCTTATAGAATTGTAAATAAATGCATTACAAAAAAATACGCGGATGAATATAATTTTAATCAATGAAAATGGCTCGGCTATTTCCGTAAAATTTCGAATTATTGTGATCGGAATAAAGACGTGAACATAAATAATTTCATGATACAAGTAAAAACTCTGGTCATGCAAAAGTTTGTATGTTTCAAACTCAAACTGTTATAGCAAGAAATCTAAACGCAATCGCTGCAACTCGGTGCCCTGCAAGATGAATTATAGCATTTCAAAATAAACTGGAAAATACATACAGATATACTGTACGATTTAGATTGCAAAGATCAGAAAATACCACAGAGCTCGCAGCCCTTTGATTCAAATATGTACCCACCCTACCTCAGTTTCATTGACTGGTATAGTAATGTTATATAATCTACCGCACCTTTTTTGCAAATTTGTTGTTCCTCACTACACTCAACTTTTCATTTCAAAAGCATACATGTGCTGTTCAATTTTAATAAGCACATCTTTTATTTTAACATCGATATTACGATTATTTTATATAATATTGTAGTGGCAGTTTTTCATGAATATTCTCGGACACACGATGATCACATTTTGGCCGTTTTTCGGGTTTGTCGCTAGGATAAAAGAACAACCAAAATTCTTGAAATTAACTATAATCTTTTAAACAATTATCAATTATGAACGTATTAAGTTTTGTCGTGAAATGTTAATTAAACATTTTAAGGTAAGAATAGAACCTCAAAAGAATTATTTGTATGGCATCTTAAGGTGAGGAATAGAACCTCAAAATTATTGTTTGCATCTTCCTCTACGAATTTTGTTCGCATGTATTATACTATTGTAGCATTTACTGTAGTGTTTTCCTAAATTTAAATTTTATTAACTTTCATGACTTGATCTTGACGTATCTTCTGGTTGTCATTTTCAATTTCAAGTTTGAACTATCATCATATCATATTATACAATTATTGACTATTGAGCCATTGAATTAGATGTGATATTCACCGGTAAATGTCATACTGACCGAGACGATAGCCATGGTCATTATGACATTTTGCTGTTCTGTTGAAAACTGTTATAACCAATGAAATCGCAGCTTTTTTAGATACCGTAATAAACACATTTGCTAAGAACAAAAAAGAAGAAATATTTCTAGGAACCGAGCATCCCACTGCGAAAAAACTTAACAATAATGTCTTGAAACAAATGATTGAATAAAACATCTGCATTCAGAGACTAGAATGCAGCTGTTTGTATAATTTACAAATTGAAATAAACATGATAAATCTTTGTCATAAGAAATCAACTAAATGATCTGTAAATTTATTGATGCTGTTCTCGAACAACGCAGTAAGTAAACGGACTCCTATATCTGATATATCAAATCAAATTGAAATAAATATATAGGTCGATTTTGTTGCGACATTCTGCGGTTTTAGTCATATCATTTCTGTAATTGAAAAATAAGGCCATTCCAGCCCTTCGCTTATAGAGTAGTAAACGAATGGAACCTACTTCCCAGTGAAATAGTTATATCCAAAAATGTGAATGGGTTTAAATCAAAATTAGATAAACACTGGCAGTGGAAAAGATTCAAACTTGACAATATTTATTGAGTAGACCAATACCGGAGCAGACGACAGGAAAACAGAACTCGAGGGGAATGATAGTATGTTTGGGACAAATAATGTTTCTCATACATCATAAGGTATCACAAGGTAAATTCAATTTGTTGAGCATAACCGGCCACTTCAGTAGAACCATCGGCATTCTTTCTTTATGATGATTAAGATATTCTTTCTTAATAAAACTTGTGTGTTTTTGTGTTGTTTTCACATCTTCAAACTTCATATGATATAAAAATAACTTTCATAGGTCAATGACATGTCATTATGTTGTACAACCGCCTTTCAGTTAATTGTCACTGAAAATATGGGATAAAGTTGAAATAGTTTCATTTGATCTACTTTGCTTTTAGGTCAGCTTTCTATTAAGCACAATCCTAATATCATAGATAATGTTTAGCTAAATAGCTGTCCAACTGTCTTTAATTAAGTAATTGAAGTCGGTGGTTCTACTCAGGTGCCCGTTCGTGCCTGAAATAATGCACGGAAGGGCACCCGAGGTCTTCCTCCACCAGTAAAGCTGGAACGTCGCGATATGAACTTTACTGTGTCGATGTGACGTAAAACTAAAAAAAAACAAATACTTAGCACAATCCTAATATCATAGATAATGTTTAGCTAAATAGCTGTCCAACTGTCTTAAATTAAGAGAGAAATGAAAAAATATGCATCTTACTTTGATGCAATATGAACAAATGTTTTCAAATTCTAAATTATCTTCCTTTTATAGTCATGAACATTCTCGTTCTGATATTCATTTGCATACACTTTATTTGATTAACTTTTAATTCAAATAGACCCTAAAGGATTAAGGTTTCAGAGCCAAAGAGGGAAAATAATGGAGTTAGTTTGTAAAATTCTGTCAATCCCAGAAAGGGAATTTTTCTATACAAATGTTATTTGTTTTCAGTGGCAGCTGTAGAGGCATGTTAAATGTTTTCAATTTTGCACATTAAAATTTTGTTTTCGTTAATGTAAACGATTTCTAAAACAGGTGCAAAACACATGAACCATTACTCATAAGCAATATTCATTACTCATAAGCAATTATATTATATAACTTCAATATGTACATTATTATTAGCTTAAACTCCTTGGTTCAAGTTTTGTTACTGTACAACCTTAGGAAGTGTCCCCCTGTGTATTCATTTAACTACTTAACGGCTATAAAAATATGTTTAGTCAATACAATATACCAGGCCCCGTGTTCACAAAGAGTTAAGGATCAGGATCAAATCTTAAAACTCAAATATTCTCCATTGTGTAACCTCATGGATTAAATGGTTTATATTAACATGATAAAACTTGACTTGAAATAGCATGTTTATGAAATTCAGAATAAATTATATTTGCAAGATATGGGCATTTTACAGTTAATCAAAATATTGATCTTGATCCTAAAATTGATTTTTATTTTGATCCTATTATTTTTGTTTTCTTATTCATCGATTTTATCCCAACATTTGTTTCTTTGCAAATCAGCAATAGTTACGTGTTGAATATGTACCATTAAATTTTAGCCAAATATGATCGATTTTAGTAATGTTAGTAAAATTAAACAATAAAATGAAATCAGGAATATTTGATCCTGATCCTGATCTTTTCTAAATGAAAACACGGGGCCAGTAGATCACGCTGACATTGAATTACAAAGGCATCTGGACTAGCAGCTGGGAAATGCCTTAACATTCCTGGTTGAAACAGATAACAATCCTACCAGGTAAATAAAGAGTAAGAATGATTAACATAAAATCAACATTTAACAATAAACTAATTATCTCATTTGACCCACGAAATGCAATACAATTCATTTTCTTCAATTGAATTAAATCAAATATTAAATACGAGTGATTTGTTTATGGTTACAGAAGGCTCTGAAGACCATTTGTGCAGTACATTTGCAAAACAATCTCAATTCATTCTGTATGCCACTATAGCAAACAATCCAAATACAAATGCCGTAAATATTAATTTAATAATTTTTACAGCAATATTATTCAGACTATTTAAGCTAGAAGTACGCCCGAGTATCTTTCTTCTTTCATATCATTTGTATATTTTAAGTCTGCATTTATACTTCCATCCGATAATAAAAAATGGGCTTTTTATGTTTCGACAGATTCACAAATAGTCATGTATGATAATCCGGTCATAGACTGTCAAGTAAATCTAATACAAATACATGCACAGTGAAGAATTTTTCAACAAGATGACTTTAGTGCTATTTTCTCCTAGTTTTTACGTTTTGTCGTCTTTCTTCAATGTTACATATTGTCAACCAGATAATAAGTAAAAAAAATAAAATATATTAAGTTAAGAAATATCAAACACCATTAATGTATTCTTTCTTCAAAATTTATAACATTTTAAACTTTTTTATTTAAGAATAATACGTTAAAGCGTCAGACATTCTACATTCAAAACAAGAGGGCCATGATAGGTCGCTCACCTGTATATAGGCCCCCTGGAGCGGGGCCAGTTTAAACCCCAGGGCTTTTAACAAACTTGGAAGACACCCATTAGAAGATGTTTCATGATGTTAAGTTTTAACTACACACATATAATGAAAAATAATTATTCCCCCCCCCCCAACAGGGCCAATTTTAACCCAAAGCTTTTATTTGAACAAACTTGGTAGACAACCATAAGAAGATGTTTCATGCTAAACATCTAAGCTCTAGCTCATTGGGGTTTTTAAAAGACGATTTTTTAAGTTTACTATACACATAAAGTTTAAAAACAATGACACCCCGGGGCGGGGCCAGTTTTGACCCCAGGGCTTTAATTTGAACAAACTTTGTAGACACTTTCTAGAAGATGTTTCATGCTTAATATCTTAACTCTAGCTATTTGGGTTTTTTCAAAGAAGATTTTTAAGTTTTTGCTATACACATAATTATAAAGAAAATCAATGACCCCGGGCAGGTCCAATTTTGACCCCAGGGCTTTTAACTGAACAAACTTTGTAGACACTTACTAGAAGATGTTTCATGCTTAATATCTAATCTCTAGCTATTTGGGTTTTTTTCAAAGAATTTTTTTTAAGTTTTTGCTATTCACATATAAGGAAAATCAATGACCCCCTGGGGCGGGGTCAATTTTGACCCCAGGGCTTTTAACTGAACAAACTTTGTAGACACTCACTAGAAGATGTTTCATGCCAAATATCTAAGCTCTAGCTCTTTGGGTTTTTTAAAACAAGATATTTAAAGTTTTTTCTTTCAGTTGCCATGGCAACCAGAGTTCTGCATGGAATGGAATTCTTTGAACGAGTTTGTTAAGGCTTTACACAAGGAACATCCCTGTGAAGTTTCATTATGATCTGCCTTATGGTTTCAGAAGAGATGTCGTTTTAAAAGTGTGAACGGACAACGGCGACGGACGCCAGACAACGGACGAAGAGTGATCCTAATAACTCACCCTGAGCATATGCTCAGGTGAGCTAAAAAAAGAAATTCTACCTTTAACCTGTATTTATTGTACATGTATACGTGTATATGTTTAGGTTCTACTTAACACTGAATTTAATAATTATACATTTTGCGTTACATCAATCTCTCTTTTGTAACCATTCTTGTGTTATATATCATTTTTTGTGTTTCATAGCGTTCATGTTTGTTATATATCATCTTGTGTTATACAGCATTTTTGTGTTTTATAGCGTTCATGTTTGTTATATATCATCTTGTGTTATACAGCATTTTTGTGGTTTATAGCGTTCATGTTTGTTATATATCATCTTGTGTTATATATCATTCTTGTGTTTTATAGCGTTCATGTTTGTTATATATCATCTTGTGTTATTTAGCATTTTTGTGTTTTATAGCGTTCATGTTTGTTATATATCATCTTGTGTTATTTAGCATTTTTGTGTTTTATAGCGTTCATGTTTGTTATATATCATCTTGTGTTATTTAGCATTTTTGTGTTTTATAGCGTTCATGTTTGTTATATATCATCTTGTGTTATTTAGCATTTTTGTGTTTTATAGCGTTCATGTTTGTTATCTATCATCTTGTGTTATTCAGCATTTTTGTGTTTTATAGCGTTCATGTTCGTTTTATATCATCTTGTGTTATTTAGCATTTTTGTGTTTTATAGAGTTCATGTTTGTTATATAGTCTTGTTTTTAAGCAAATGGTGTGTTACGATTAGGTTTCAAGAGAGAACAAAATAAACATGCACGCACACACGTTCACAAAATAACACAAACATAACAAAGAATCTTACTAGGATAAACAACATGTTTCAAAAAAATAATTACAGCATCCAAAATTAGTCTGTTATAACATAATGGTGAATTTAAAGTTTTTAAATCTAATAGACGAATGACGTAATTTGTTTACAAGGTATTTTATATATTCAATTTAAATTTATGAGTTTTTGTTTAAAATTTAAAGAAATGCAACGATAAATTCCATAGCTGATACATCATCATTTATTTGTGCATACAAGTATACAGTATTTTGAAATAACATTTTTTTTTAAACGGGTAACGATGTTTAAACAGCTTTTTTTTAAAAATCACAAACCGTGTCAAAATTATAAATAAAACCCCGTCACATAAATACGGTAAACATTTTATGTCTTGAAACCAGAGCAATGAATTCGTTTACTCGTTTATTATTCGGAGGAATATTTCTTCTTACTTTTATAGGTAAGTTATTTCTTCACTGATTATTTTCTTTTGTTTAAAGGCACTTAATGCCCCAAAAATGAATATATTCTATTTTTTTAAAAGCTTTTTTTAATTTTTTATTTTTGGTGTACAATTATAGTTTCAAAAAAATTACTCATTGGTCAATTACCTTAACCATCTTTCTCTTTTAAATTTGCTGGGTTTATTTTGCGATTAGTACCGTTACAGTGACTTAATATTTTGTATGGCAGTCAAAATACAACGTTTGTTTATATACTTACTTGAGGTAACAAACATCTAACAGGGTCTTAACCATTTTTAAACGATATAAAACTGATAATTGCCCTTTCCAAAGAAGTAAACATTAACTTGTTTCTGCAGCATAATGTACATTTTAATGAACATTACTATATTGTTAAATTTCATTTAAATAGATATTACATGTAGCTCTTCATTTTTTTGTATATATTTCACAAAGGCAAAGACGTAAATTTCAAACTAGAGAACAGAATAGAAATTTGTTAAACTTTGCATGCTGAAAATAAAGAGAGTGAGTCATAATTTAAATAAATTGATAAATAATGAGGGTGCGGGGGTGTCTGGGGCACATTTCTTTCTTTCTGAATTTTCTGATATTGAAAGTCAGTTTTTGTTTTTCTTTACTCTCCGGAGCAGATAACTCGTAATCTAGGACATGGCGATATCTTATTTTATCTCAAAGTAGTCTTTTATACTTCGTTTTCAGTCACTTAATTTCTAAAGTACACCATTCTGTCAATGAAACTTTTTGCAATGCTTCAATAAACATTTTTTTTACAAAAAGGCATACATAAACACATATAAAAAGTTAAAGCGGTTTAGTCTACAATGGGCACAATTTTCAAATACATTTTTTTTGTATTCCAAGTATTTCAAATATTGATAAAAACTATAGAGAAGTATCATTTGAATGTTGTTATGAAGTATTGCTTGAAAGAAAAAAATGTTGATTAAGTTCTTACTAATTTATAGTATAACCATTTTTATGATGAATAATAATTTTTGATTACATTGTATATGTAACATCTAATCAAGTATCTCACATTTGCCAACAACATTCATCTTTATTTTTTTTTGTCTGATGTTATATTTGATATTTAATACTATCAACGTAATTATTTATTGTATTATGTCAGATCTTATAGAGAATGCAGAGAATGACTGCAAAGTTTTCCCCATGACAGGAAACAAAGAACCAAGCATAAACTTCAAATCTAATGAGGATTTGTTTGCTACAATTTTGATTTTATCTGCTCATGAAAATGGCCAAATGTAAACAGAAAACTTTTCAGGGTTTATGGGGGAACCAACACAAACAAACGCGAAAGTCAGACGCAAAAATATATTACACAAAAAGAAAATAATTTCCACTTGTTACTAATGCTTATAAATTTAAATAAAGTACAGCAAGACTTAGAGAATTGTGTATGAAATATTTATTGAAAGGTAGTCTTTAGGGAAAGGTCATGATACACTGTAATTGTTCAAATTTTAATCTGAAATGGCAATCATTACTAAATGTTTGATTTTTCTGTCTTTCTATGGAGGTAGCATAATTATAGGTACATGTATAAATAGATTATAAGTAGATGTGTATATTATGTATATTATTACAAGTACAGTTGTATTTGTATAGATTAATTTTAAGCATATGTATAGATTAATAATAAATATATGTATAGATTGATGAAATTAATTATTTAAAAGATATGTTGCAAATTGTCGTTTATACCATTTAAGCGCAATAGGTCGTGAATATATAAGCGGGCTAGCTTTAATTTACCACCCATCCGTGAAGGTCCATGACATCTAACTACAAAATTACCTTGACACTGCGCACCTGAGATTATGTGGAGATGGCATGTAAACAAAATACTTGTACGTTAAAGGTGATCTATAAGATCGATTTCATGCGAATATAAATAAGTCCCACTTTATGGACAAATGAAAAGGATACAGTTGTGCTCATTTAGACGTGCCGTTTTTTATTTATTTATTCATGTGTACGAGTATGTAGGCATGTATGTATGCGCGCAATGCGTGCGTGCGTGTGTCTGTATGTATGTATGTATGTAATATAGTTCTGATCAAGGGGTTTATACTGGTTAAATGTGCTCTGATTTTATAATTTTGTAATATATATTGAAAGAATGTATCTCATTATTATCTTATTATTATCACTGCGTAGCAAATATTTAGATACATCAAGAGTCATGCTAATTTTCGTGAAAATTTTGAAAATGTATTTAGAAGTAAGATATTGTGAAGTAGTCAAAAGGAAGCAATTTACACATTTAAAACATCACACATTTAAAACAGCAATCACAACCCACGTAAATTACCAAAATGAGATAAATTTGTTCGAAAATACCCTTTACTGCGTTAGTAACACAGTAGAAATATAGTTATAAATACTGAAAAATCAATCATTTATGGCACATAACATGTAAATTATAACTTAACTCTTGAATCTTTTTACATTTACTTATATCTTAGTATATTTTTCTCAAGTTTGATTTTATTGAAATATTTTGGCTCTTTTGGAGGAATGTGGCTTTAAGCGCCGAATGGAAATTTTTTCTTGCGTATAATAGGTATATGTTTGTATTATTTTCGCTAGCTAAGTGTATTTCTATCAAAGGAAATTCATTGAATTTTTTGTCATGACGGGACTATAATAAGGGACTCGAGATTTATGTTCCTCTAAACCAATAACTTTTGATCATTCGCTCACTCCGTTTTTTTCCAGAATAATTATTCTAATTGTGAAAATGTGCTAATAATAGGCTTTAAGGCTGAAGCAAAGTGTCTTATTAACATGCCTAGTCACAAATAACATCCCAATGGGCAAGACTTCAATACTTTTATAGTTTTTGTCTTGCTTTAAAAGTAACAGGTAAAAATTTCTATTTCAGTTCATGAAACAAGTTCGAATGAATGTATCGACTGTACCAAATGTCGAAAGGAATTTTATGTGGATGGGGAACTATCGCCGGACTGTCTAGAGGGTTGCAAAAGTGACAAGATGGATAATGGTACATATGTTTTATCTTTTATGCAATAATAATTATTCTTGGTGCTGTGGAAATGGCAAAAAATCAGTTCAATTTCTCAAAGAATTATTATTAAGCCATATAATTACCTTTGTTTGATAATTTTAGTTTACAGAGCAGTCGCTTTGTTTTACAAATGTTTTTTTCTTTTCTAAAGAATTAAAAAATATTGATCTATTTCTGAGGCATATTGTGCCTTTAAGATTGAGGTTCCAAAAGCAAAAAAAAAGCCCGGCTAAATACTCGTATTAACGAAAAATAAGGCGTAGAGTATGAATATGTTCGATTTTGCTTGGAATAGTTATTTCCTTCTTATTATAATAATCATCATGGAGGCATAATCCGAAAGACTGAATTTAAAAGTGACAAATTATTTTAAAAATCAAGTGCTGTTGTCTTTTTTAGAGTACATTTGTAGTTCTTTACTGCTCAATTCGGTCAGTGAACGTCACTGTTACAAAGAACTGCCCTATGAATACATCTGCGCCTTTTTTAGCTTTTGTTACAGTTCTAACAGGTCCCTCCAACAGAGGGATTTTGGCCTACACATTACTTACAATCACGCATTTGGTTTAAGTAATATGGATTCAGGTCTAAAGTGGAGAGTTGAAGGAATATAATGATACATATGTATGACTGTAACAAGTTATCTTTTTCTTTTTTTATTCAGAGATGATGAAGCGATGTGCCATGTCGTTGCGATGTACTACAAAGGAGGGTGTACAACAATGTGCGTGCACCCACCAGGCTTGTCCTACCAGCGGTAGCCACACTTTGAAGCTACCAGTATACCTATTGCTGTCATACATGTTTGCCACTTTATCTCTAAAATATCTTGTATGACCAAATATTGTTAATTCTTGAAAAACTGTAAAACTGTGTATCATGTAGAGTAGGGACTTGTATACGAGGAATTGTGATACTGCAACCATTCCTAAGATGTACAAAAACTTTATTTTTATTACATTTTTCGTTATGTATATTTTGATATTTTCTCCTTTTGTATGATTAACCTCACTGTATTTGCATTATGAACTCGACTTACTTTGAATTTGGTGCATTGGTTATACAATGGTTTGAAAATACCAAACTAAGGATTTAACCACAGGAACAGCTGCGTATGGAGATAGAAAGTCCTAAATTTATTTAAAATCCTAGATATTACCCAGGGCTGCGTTTCATAGGAAGTCCTAAGTGTATCCAAAATTCTAGATATTACCCAGGACTGAGTTTCATAGAAAGTCCTAGGACTTTTGACAAACTATAACAATAGCTTAAGAATGTTTCAATAAATAATTTTACCTGTTGTGAAAGTCTTAAACTTTCATTAATTTCATTTTCCTGAGAAAAGTTAAAAAGATACAATAACACACGCTTCAATATGGTTATCTGCATGGCTTTTAAGACATTGGACAAGTGGTGACATTGGAAACATATCTTTGAAGCACAAAACTGTCTTAACTTTGGTCCGGAGACTGATTTAAGGGCTTTTCATGAAACGCAACACTGATCGTTAGCCAATACAAGGAACAATGGAGTTATGTTTACATGTATATCTTGTTATCAAGAATAAAGAAAACAAAACAAAATTGTATTGTTTTTTTCATCACTCATTTTATTTATATACAACAATAAGTAAAGCACAACAACACGTTGTCCTCAATAATACAATGTATGGTAATAAAAATATCATCATCATTTCAGTTCAGTTCAGTTCAGTTTAGTTCGTTCATCAAGTAACGATGATTAAATAAGAAAATATGTACAATTAAGATATATCTAGATATATTATCATATTCCTTGTTGCTACCAGCTTTATACCATATATTTGTAATTTGCCACATTAATCCTCCCTTGGTCTCATTAATTAAGTTATTGTTGTATTTTACTTACACCTTTTGGCCATTTGGAATGACACAACAAAATAAAATGTTCTGAAAATTCAAACGCTCTAAAAAACAATAACAATATACATACATTGTATTTGTTTAACATGATTTTGAATTTCTATGGAAATAAAAAAGTGCTGTTTTAAAGAGAAAGTCAGTATTACATAGCAGTAATCGTTTTTCGAAAAGTGTTCATTGCAAGTGATGAGTCTAAAGGAAAAAATAGTGCAATCGGCATAATTTAGAAAAAAAAATATTGTTTAAAAATATGTGAAATGGCAGATTTAGCAATGCGTGGTGCCCACTGCCCATGTTGTTTCAAAACGTGATTGAAATTCTAACAAGCAAAGAACCTGCCGCAGCAGCTGTTAAAATACAAAATCAGTTCGGGATAGTGGGTCTGACCGTCAAACTCAGAGGAAAAAAGTGAGCCACGTCAGCTCTACATAAACCGACAAGATGAGAGAGATTCTTTGAGTGGAGGTTATAGACCCAATTACAGGCATACTGTAAGATCAAGTGACAGTGATTGGGCAACATTATCGTTTAGGTAGACGATAGGCCTCCTGTGGGTTTTGGAATGTTTGTAATAGGAAATGTGATATTTATCAGAGAATCGTAATCTTAGAACATTGTAATTTTGATATTTTGGCTCTTGCAGGAAAACACCTCCAGGCAGATGAAAAGATTATTGGTGAGGAATATACTTTAATTGGGCATAATAGAAAACATTTACGAAATGCTAGAGTAGGTACAGGAGGTGTTGCCTTATTAATTTAAGATGAATTTTGAAATAATTACAATTTTTCAACAATTGTTAAGGAGTATGAGGGGAATTTTATGGATTTATCTGTCATGTTAGAATAATTCATATAATGATATTGTAACTTGTGTTTGCTTTTTACATCCTAAATATTCCACAAGTCAAGTTGATGGAAATGAATTTTATGATAATCTCTTGTATAAAATTGTGAAATATCCTTAATAAAATACGTGGACTAATGTTTATGGAGATTTCAATAGAATTTTCTATGGAGATTTTAATAGAAGATGCTCCAATGAATTAGATTACATACAGCGTATTAAGAACTTACCAGACCGAGATGTAAAGGATTTTATAACAAATTCATATGGTTCTCTTTTAATAATTTTTTGAAAAATGTAAATTTTTGTATTTTAAATGGATGGAGAATATGAAAAGTAATGACTTTACTTTTATTTGACCACAAGATGCTTCTGTGCTAGATTTTTGTTTAATTCCATACGAGATACTTCATGGTAATTTTGTTTATTTTGAAGTAATTTCAATGTAAAAATGTTTAGATTTAGATCTCCTTTTGCACATTTTAACACATCTGTCACTCCAGATCATTCAATTCTATAATGGAATATAGTGTTAAAATGCTGTAAACTGTATAAATCATACAGGTCCAAACTTCGACACAGGTTTCCGTCTTTTCATGACACTTAAAAGGTAGATAAGTCATTTCTTTCTAATCTAGAAACACTGCAAGAGATTTTTCGAACCATTGATCTGATGGAGAAAGCAGCCAGGCTGAAGATGAGTCAAATTTAACATTCTAACACTATCGGAGATTTCTGTTATATAAACAAAGAAGGTCGGAAGCATGATATATTTCACAACAATGCAGTCGCCGTTCTTATTTCCTCCCTCTATATTTTTAAATCGAAAAATTCAAGGTGTCATTTTGTATGAAAAATCTGATAAAAAAACAACAACTTTTCTTGAATTCAAAATTCTCAAAATGTTTCTGCAAACGGTAGACTAAACGACATTACTTTGCAACCGACTAACAACATTTAAAGAACGTTTCTACTGAAAACTCTGAGGTGAAAACAAATTTTTTCCACCAAACATATAGTCCAACTATATTTTCATCCTGACGTGTTAGAATCTAAATAAATTTTATTAATTCTTCGGGCATTGTAAAATAATCATGCACGGTTTTTCGTTCAAATGCTTTTAAATTTATCACTCAGGCCTATCGGCGGTCGTGATTATATTCCTACGCCGTTGAACTCAAACCGTGCATAATTCTACAACAGTGCACTCAGATTTATATCTATGTCCTAAAATTTGCTATTGATGAGGTGCGTAAAGGTATATTGCATGTATGGAAAGGCTCTTGGTCATGATGAAATACCGAACGAATGGTTGAAAATGATTCAGCCTTGGTTATGCTTCATAGTCTGTTTTACAGATGTTACAGGAGTGGAAGTGCTCTCTCCAATTCGTAGACAGGACTGATTTTGAGAATTTAAGGTATGCTGAATCCGATAAAGGTGGATACCAAATTGAAAAACTTGACCTCGACCATTGAAATGGCCATTTAAAATGACCACTAAAAATTTCTTTATCATTAATGAATGATAGATCAAATAAAGATTTTAAGGAAAGGAAAACCCTGAAATTTGTCATAAAGGATGTTTAGATAAAAATTAATTAGACACCAAAACAGAATTAAAAAAAAAAAAAACAATCCAATAGGGCCGAAAAATCCAAGATGGCAGACATTTTTCTATAGGCAAATATAATAGTAATATTATATTATTATGTAGATAGTACTACACTTGACTCTTCCCTGCCCTATCTGCTTACAAGTATTTTATCTGGCACTTTATGCAAGCATATAGAGTGGCTACTCGATGCATATTTACATAGCGAGAGGGGGTTAATTAATGGCACCTTTCTCTGACTACTCTTGGGTTTTGGTGTTCGTTTTTCTGTTTTCGGTTCTCGTCGCATTTCTCTGCTGTCAGTTCTTCTGTTATTGCTCGTGACTTTCGTTTTTCTGTTATTGGTCCTCGTCGCAGTTCTCTTTTTGTCAGTTCTTCTGTTATTAGTCGTGATCTTTGTTCTTTTATAATCGGTCCTGATCTCGGTTTGTTTGTTGTTTTGTTTTTTTTTGTTTTTTTTTTTGTTACATGTTCTGTTATCGGTTCTCGTCTCTGTTTCTGTTATCGGTTATCGTCTCCGTTCTTCTGTTATCCGTTTGTATATTTCTGTTATAGCTTTCTTCTTGTCAATTCTTCTGTCAGCGGTTCCCGTCTCTATTGTTACATGTTCTGCTATCAATCCTCGTCTCCGTTGTCTTGTTGTCAGTTCTTCTGTTATCGGTTATCGTGTTCGTTCTTCTGTCATCGGTTCTCGTCTCTTTCCTTCTGTAATCAGTCCGTTTTATGTTGTCAATTCTTCTTTCATCGGTTACCGTCTCTGTTATCGATCCCCGTCTCATTCTTCTGTCATACAGTTTTCGTCTATGTTATTGTGTTATCGGTCATCGCCTGTATTTTTCTGTTACCAACCCTTGTCTCCGCTTGTTGTCAGTGCTTCTGTTATCGGTCCCTGTCCTGTTCTGTTATCGGTTCTTGTCTCCGTTCTTCTCCATTTTTCTGTCATCAGTTGCTGTCTATGGTATAAGGGACCCTGTCTCTGTTCTTCTTTCTTGTCTCCGTTTTTCCTTCTGTTATCGGTCGTCGACTTCGTCTTGTACTTTCGGTGCCTATTTCCTGCTCCGTTAAGGTCTTCTCTTGTTTCTATCGTTGCCGTCATTCTTTTTCTATGTCCTGGTTTTGTCAGTCTTATAGTCATTTATTCGTTCAGTGGAGTAGCGGGGGATCGAACTCACGACCCCTTGATTTGTAGGCAGACAGTGTTACCACTGCACCATAGCGACCGCTCTGAATAATAACCGTTTTTGAAAATCCTTTAAACATTAAATACTATTTCAATAGCTAACAAAGGGTGTATTACAATTATATTTTAACACCTCTACTATGTAGCCAACCCACGTGACTTTTATATATGGTCAAAGAAAATATTACTCGATTTATAACAAATAATATTTTTAAAGATGACTTTGCTGTTACTTTAAGATATCCTGGAAATCTATTGAAGGGTGCCCGGAATTCTAATGTATATCGAATTATGTGATAATCTTCTTGTAGAATTATCTCAAAACCGTGACTGAATTCCAAAATTTTCGAGAGCTGCCATGGTAAAGCAAGCACGCGTAGCAATAGCCCGGTTTCAGACATGGTATGACTCGATGAAAATATGGTGTTGTTATTGTTGTAGTTGTTTTTATCTTTAGCTTTAAATTTCATATTAAATAGTCACTTATTTTTAAACAAGAAAGTAAGCATTTGTTGTTTTCTGTATTTTTGTTAAGAATATATGGAATATGTATACACTTCTAACTTTAAGATTTCTTTTTAATAATCGTATACCTGATTGCAGTTATAATTGAATCTAAACAATGAATTATGCAGATATTATTTTCGGCAATAAACAACAAATAAAAACAAAACAACACATAAAAAATATGCAGCATACATGTGTAATGTTCACAATGTGCTGATAAACGGCTCTTTATTAATTTCAACATTTCAGCAAGTGACACATTTTTAATTGGACAGAAATGTTGTTGTAACCATTTAAAAAGTAGGATTTGTAAATTTGTAAGTTGGATATTTTTAACCTAGTTTGCTCAACACTCAATTAACACATTTTTATATATAAACCTGAGGTAAAGAAAATTGACAGAAAACAACTTTCATAGATTGAGATACAGCCAAGATGTCGTAGATATTTGGGTTACAAAAGGATTTTTTTATCCTGGTACTGTTTTAAGTAGGATATACATATTACAAGCTTATATTCTTAAAATAATGTCCCGCCTTAATTTAATTTTGTTAATACGTGCAATTATGTAATTATTATGTCTTTAGTTAGTTAAAACATTACAGCACTAATTGAAATATAAGATTGCACTTCGATTTCGTTGGTAATGTTTACGAGAACTAATATGGAGTATATAGAGGACATTTGTTTGTGTGTAAGATGAAATTTTTCAGTATACAAACGAAGTGAATGGTGTGTGTTAAACTACCACACAATCTGTCAAAGGTATTGAACATTAAAAGCAAATCATAGAAAACGTTGTTTATTAAAGTCAGATTTTTTATTTTTTTTGTGCACCAAAAGTGCTTCAATTATTGGAGAAAGGCTGTTCATCGTTACTTCCGCAGTAGCACAGTCGGCTAAGTGATTGACTGATGTGTGAGAGGTTTATGGTTCGATTCCTACTGTTGCCTTTTTTAAGACCTATACTGTTTTTTGTTGTTGTTGTTGTTGTTGTTTTTTTGTTGTTGTTGGGGGGGGCAGTATATATTTTAAAACACTTTTTGTCTAAGTTTGTGTTGTGTTTATGGCATTGAAAAGACATTTTTTTACATTTCAAAATAATTTTTAAATATTCATTTTAAACAATAAATACCATAATAAGTGCAAAATATATGAAAACAAAATGAACAACTTAAAAAAATCATAGCTACAAATAATGTTGAAAATTACGGAATACCTGAAGTGACTTTTTCCACATTTTCTCCCTGAATTCAATTCGTTTTTACGAGATAAATAATTCCCTGTTAGAAATATTATTTCGTTTTAACGAAATATTAAAATCTTAATTACGAAATATTGATTCGTTAATATTACGAAATATTATTTCGTAATTACGAAATATTAATTTGTTATTACGAAATATTTATTCTTTGGTTATATTTATAAACTAAGTTTATTGTTAGATATAAGTCAAGTAAACAAAACATTAAAAGTGATTTTTTTCAATCTTAGTCTTATACCTTAACGCGCTAGTAAAACAGTACTGTATATACTGTTTATTGAGCCATTAGGCTTATAACCGCTTTATTTGTAAAATCTGATCATATTGAATAATCATTTGATTTTGACAAGAATTAATAATTGTCTCATATTGTATCATAGTTTTAATGACCAATTTTAGTATTTTTAAGCGGCCATTTTTAATTGACCTTTTGAAGGTCAATGTCAATTTTTTTAATATTCTTGGTATCCAACCTCATCGTCTTCAGCATACCCATATAAGGTTAAAACACTCAAGATATTACTTGTGCTAGCATTCACATTTTCTTAAAATCAGTCCTGTTTATGGTATCATTACAGCAATTCCCAAGTCTACTACAGTAGATGCACTTGATCCTCTGTCCTATAGGGGCATCACATTGGCTCCCTGCAAGTATAAAATTTACAGTAGTATTTTAGATAACCGTTTGAGCAAGTGTTTAATGATAATAACTCTATTTGTGGTAATAAAACGGTTTTTATAAGTGTAAAAGAACAGTAGATCAGATCACTTACCACTTTTATTGAAACTCGTAAATTAAAAAGGCTTCATACATTTGCCTCAGTTACTGATTTTAAAAAGGTATACGATATGTTAGATAGAAATTGTTATGGGAAAAGTTGCGGCATTTGGGACTTGAGGATAGACTTTTTCTCAAGCCATTATATCATTGTATAAGGATGTTAAATGTTGTGTACGTGTAAATGGTTTTGATTCCCTTCCCACCGTTTTGATATAAAGTGTAGTTTGAAACAAGACTGTCTCCTGTCTCCATTGCTTCTCAACTTGTATATAAATGATTTAGCATCTTTGATAAAAAGCTTAGATAAAGGTTTCAAAGTTGATCATAACAAAATAAGTTTTCTTTTTATGCAGACGATGTTGTTCTCTTAGTCGAAAATGCTGATGAATTTCAGTTTATTTCAGATCATTTGTCAGATTTGTCATCATACATGTGATCTTTCGCACATCGGACACAGCTAGTCTGGTTTTTTCCAATGAATATAGATGTGACTTGTTGCTTCTAAGTATGCATATGGCACAAGGAAACACTTGTATGGTGCCCAATGGACATTTAGCCTTATAGGCATTGATTCGATTCTGTTGAGAAAGTAGCTATAATGCCTTTTTTGTCTTCGTCAGTTTAATGTAATTTATTTCTGTAATTTTGGAGAAAATTTCTTCTTCGATTTGTTCAAAATTTTGTTTATTTGTAGTCTGTTTTATTTCAGTTAAACATTTATTGTTAAGGATCTAATAAGATTTTAGCGACAGAAAAATTGTGATTATTCTAATGTTTATCGCACCATTGACCTGTTTGCTTTCTTTTCTTTTTTGTTTCAAAAATAAATCTTCTTTTACGTACTTGAAAATTAGGGCCCTACTTATTCTTTCTGATTTAACATTAATATATTTTTCCCTCTTATATTCTTGCGGGTAAACAATAAAATAAAGGGAGGTAAGTATAATTACATCTAGATGTTTCATTACGTACTTTGATCAATTTCATTTATGGACTAGGTTTGCTAAACGTTTGGAATACGGAAATCAGGTAACTTACAGGTGTGATAAATATCTGCTAGAATTTTAAGAAATCTGTAATCGAGCAATAATTACATCATGTTCATTGTAAATCCGAATTAGGTTCGTGTGTTCCTGATTTTATGTATTGTTTATCATCCAAATTGTTTTATTTTGAACGATTTTTGTTGACGTATTTTTCACCCTGTTTTGATGAACTCAAACTTGTTTTGATTATACAATGGACATAGGCCTACTGCCTGCGTGCACGCATTAACTATACGTTGTGTATCTTTATTATCAACATAACATAACATAAGCTTAATTTAGCATTAAACATATTATATACAATGTTTAGCCAAAATGAAGAAAAAAATGTTCATAATGGTATACGCTGTGAGAGTAACGTTTAACGTGTTTCCAGAAGAACAAAAATATGTAATTCATACATAAAGTATAAAGCAAAAACATTTTATCTATACTATAAAGTATGCTGATAACACATTTTTCAGAAGAATGAAATATTTGAATCTTAAGTAAAACTGTTAATATAAATGTTTATCCGTTGTACACATGAAATATACTGAAGACACGACATTAGAAGGTCAAGGTAACATAGTGTACTGATAACAACGTTTTTAGAGAGAAAAAATATTTGCTTAATACTTGAGTATGTTGATATTCACGTATGTGAAAATAACCACATAATATTTGTTTTGTACATAGCATACTGATAACATACCAGTGTATCCTTCACATAATTCTTTTCTTATTTGCGAAATATAAGTGAGGTAATGTTACAAATAGTTTATTCTTTTTAGAAGTAACGGACATTTATCTTTTCAAATTCATTTATTGATGACCAATGATGATTTTTCGGTTTTAGATATTTAATTCTTAAATCTTGATTAAGTGGACAAGCGAGGAGGAGATGAGATTCTGGTTCTGGTTGTCGCATATTACACGATTTGCAGATTCTCTGTTCACTAGGAATGTTATGATATCTTCCGATTTCGATAAATAACTCATGTGCGGAAACTCTAAATCTTGACATCGCGATTCTATACTTATTTTCCGTTATGGCACTCAAATATTTTACTACCTCGAATTTATGTGTGAATATACAATACTATCTTAAACGACTAGAGTTATTTATATCGGAGTACCAAGATTGTAGATATGTATCGAGAAGCCATTGAAGGAATGACAATTTGGAATTGTTCATTCAATATATAAATTAGCCCAATGTCGGTCAGTAATGTTTTAATGTGGGAAGCCCAGTTATTATTATGCCCCCACAGAGTGAGAGCATATAGCGTTGCACTTGTCCGTCCAAGTGTCCGTCCGTACGTCTGTCCGCACTCACAGGACAGTAATTATGTGGCTACAGGAACAATAGGTAACTGTTCTTTCTCTTTGATGTCATTCATTCCGTAATGCTTTTATGTGGCTATTTTCTTTTGTGTGGCTAAAAAGAACAATAGAGAGAACAATAGAGTAGCCACATAATTACTGTCCTGTGAGAACTTCCGTCCATCCGTCCGTACGTCCCGAAATCTTGTGAACGCAACTCCTCTTAAACCGGATCGCAGATTTTGTTTAAACTTCCAGGGATGAAAAACCTTAAATTGTAGATGGTAGTAAAGGAAGGAATTTTTGCTGCGACCAAATTTAACAGAATTATGGCCCTTTGTTGATTGTTTCACTATATACTATGTAGAAATTTTGTGAACGCAACTCCTCTTAAACCGGATGGCAGATTTTGCTTAAACTTCCAGGGATGAACAACCTTAATGTGTAGATGGTAGGAAAGGGAGGAATTTTTGCTGCGACCAAATTTAACAGAATTATGGCCCTTTGTTGATTTTTTCACTATATACTATGTAGAAATTTTGTGAACGCAACTCCTCTTAAACCGGATGGCAGATTTTGCTTAAACTTCCAGGGATGAACAACCTTAATGTGTAAATGGTAGTAAAGGAAGGAATTTTTGCTGCGACCAAATTTAACAGAATTATGGCCCTTTGTTGATTTTTAGTTTTCAACTTGTGGCACATGTAGTCCAAAAAATATTTGACCTAGAGTCATAAGATTGACAGAGCAATGGCGTGTGGGGGCATCCGTGTCCTATGGACACATTTCTAGTTTCGATATGTATTACCCTGGTTTGCATCGGATTTGAAAATAAATACGTTTTCTTTATTAAAGATGAATTTTTTAATTGTTTCAATATTTCATGATATTTATTTCTCTGTATATAAGAAGTGGAAATCACCCTAGTTCACCATATAATGCCATTGAATTAGTCACTTTTTTACACAGAGTACTTTTCTCAGAAACGTATTATGCATAAGTACATCATGCATACCCCATATACCCGAGCCAAAATTTAGAAAGGAACCAATAAATGATTCAAACAGTTTACATTTCTGTGCGACCGTTATTTTCATATTTTTAAAGTTTAAAAAAGTTTGTGCAGCGCAAAAGATGCGTGTTGAGCTATACATTTTTGTGTTCGGTGCCAATTACCGTTTTCGAACGAAATGGTCCCAAGGTACTTAAATGATTGAACGGCATCTATTGCTGTATTATATACGTGTCTACTCTTTTCGAATATCATAGCGTTTGCATTTGATAATCATTTGGTTATTTACGTAATTATGATATCTGTATTTAAAACTTAGTCGAAATGTCGAGAACTTGCTAGTTTTTCAATGTAAAGTAAATCTGTACATAAATCTCGACCCTTTTAAACATTCTCCACCATGTGCTATACAAAATTTTAGTCTTTTAATCCAATTTTTAAATGCGTTTTCATAATCTTTTCGAGGTATACTGTTCAGACACAGCCTAACCGTGATTTTTTTCGCGTTTGATATTTTCTTCCAGCAATATGTTTTTTAAGCCTCGGAAAAAAGAAATAGTCACAAAAGGCAAGATCTGGCAAATAATGAGGTTGAGGAAGCTCGACAACCTTTTCCTGTTTCAGATATTCTCGTACAATGGCCGCTTTGAGTGACAAAGCATTGTCGTGCATAAGCTTGACACCACGAAGACCAGTTGCTGGTAGACGGTTTGAAATATTTCTTAAATTTATGAAGGACATTGCCTTTGTAAAACTTGGCTTTTAAAGATTTACCCTTTGGTACGTCAATTTGAATAGCAGGACCTTGATTGGTAAAGAAAATTACATACATGACCATTTTGACGCTCATAGTACGTTTTGCTTTGCAAGGTCTTTGACTTCATTGGATGCCCATATTTTGTTTTGTATCTTTCGCTCGGGCTCATAAAAGTGTACCCAAGTCCCATTGCCAGTGATGATATTTGCGTAAGGTCGAGTGTTGTATTTAAGGTACTGTTTCAACAATTGTTTGGAGATTCTTTCCCGAGCAAGTGTTTGCTCTTTTGCAAGAAGATATTCATCTGGCACTTATCATTCTCATTTTTTAAATCACGTCTGAGAATTGTATGTGCGGCTCCTAAAGATATACCAACGCATTTAGCTATATACCTAGATGTACATCTTGCATCAGTAGAAATCAAATCCTTTACTTTTTCAACCATTTTTGGCGAAGTTGAAAAAAAGAAGTTCATTGTTCCCATAAACAGGACATATTTCATTAAAATATGCTTTTCGCCTGTATACCAAGAATACAGCGGTTCTTGATATAGGACCGTATTTGGTCAGTGAAAGGAGACCTTTTCCCAACCATTTTAGCTTAAGTATACACTAGTAGATGGGGTTAATCGAGCTGTTGCCAAAGCAAGACTGAACTGATTTACACATGTATTGTATCAATGGAGAGCTTACACAACCTTCTACTAAGTTCGTGCAGAACCTTGTTAAAAGCGAGATATTGGTCTTGTTGCGTTCATTTTTGAACACCCCTCGTAGTGCAACTATAGCTAGACATGTTTAAGAGGCATTAAGATAATTCTTTTGGACAGTAGAAAACCGTCTAAATGGCTCAAACCGATCAAACTTAAGTAATGAGGCTAATTAAATCTTGAATAGATGGGGTCTTATCCACAGACACTTGGGGTTTGGAGCTCAAAACGCCTTTAAAATCCAAATAAAAGGCATATTTGTCAATCCCAGCACATGTACTGATCATATATATCAAAAAAACTTAATATAAGCCGTTTTGAAAAAAAATCATATTTCAACATCTATAATAATACACATTATTATAGATGTTGAAATATGAATTTTTTTTCAAAACATTTGCCCTTTTTGCAAGAGCGAAGCGTTTCCCCCTCAAATCTTTGGAGGGGGTGGACATTTGCTTCCCCCCACCCTAAAATTTTTCAAGGGCAGACATTTGCACATCCGTTTATAATTTTTTATTGATTTTATTGTAAATTTCCGAAATTCATCACCCGATTGTCGCAATTCCATAGTTCTTAAATTCACAAAAATACTCGCGCAAATTTGTGAAAACAAAAAAGCATCAATAAATAAATAAAATATAAAAAAAATAACATTCAAAAAAATGAACACACGAGATGACCTCTGGCAGGTGACTAGTCGGCTCTTGAAAAGAAACTGTCAATCTTTGATGGTTACACTCATATGTAGTTCCTGCTAATTAATCCGTATTATCAAAGAAGTGCCGACTTTTAATTGACTACCACTCATTTTATTTCATGAAATACTTACCTGACATTACATTCAGGATTTCCGTTTCGAATTGTATTTTGTTTTTGCATATTTATTTTTATATTTCCGAGAAAAAAAAACCCAACAAAAACGAGTTTTCGGGTCGGTAAACCGAAGATATAAAAGGAAATAATGATCTAATGCATATAATAAGACCGGAACGTATTTAAGATCACCGAACACACTTTTTAATACAGGGGCGGGGGTGCAATTGTCCGCCCTTTAGAAATTTTAGTGGGGGCAAATGTACGCCCTTCCAAAACATACGAGAAGGCAAATGTCCACAACCGCAAAAAGGGGATTGCAAACGTCCGGGATTCCAACTCATTGTACTACTACATGGTTTTATGTTTATTTGCCCTGATGATATTGACACCTATCGGCATTATATTAAATTGAGAAACACCAGTTAATGTCACTTACTTTTAGTATAATTTTTCTTGTTCAATATTTTGAAATATATGCATCTAAAAATTGTAAGTTGCTTTTATAACTGACTGGTATTGAAAGTGCCTTCATGGCCCCAAGTAAATTGTATATATAATTTAACAAATTAAAGTATCTCAAGCTATGCAGTGTTTGTGGCAGACTGAATTTTATGACAGGAAGCTAAAGCAGGGACACAGGCTCAAGTAAATAATAAACAATGATAGTGTCGTACATTCATTTTATGCCAGTTTAAACGTTTTGTGTTTATATTTCCCTTCTCTTATAGAAAAAATCTAAAAAGTCTTGAGGAGGGGTTTAGCCCTCAATACTTGATCCAATCCTATACCACAGCAGATTTGTTCCCTGGAAAGTAAGAAAAAATAGTATCTGTGAAAGAAGCAATAACAAAACAAAAGCAGCATGAATGGAAAGTCTTTTTTATTATAGGAAAAAAACATATTCTTGAATTGTGGTATGCCAAAATTATTTTACCGTACTGTTGATAGTTTCAAACCAAAATTAAGTGATTAAATAAGTTTTAAATTATTTATTTGTTTCAGGTGAATCATTCATGACGTAAAAGCAAAAGAATAGACAATGAAAGTTTTGGTGCTTGCAGTGCTGGGTTTGGCAATCTTTGAAAACTTTGTGCACTGCCAAATAAATAGTATTCCAGGCTCTGGAAAAACTAACTGTAAGAAGCAAGGCTTCTTGTATTTCTATGCCCCTGAAAGGCGGCATATTAAAATCGCACCGTCCGTCTGTCTGTCTGTCTGCCTGTCTGTATGTATGTCCTATTTGCGTCCCTATTTATTCCTGGCCGTACTATAATTTTGTCACACATTGATAGATTTTGAAATAGCTTGGCGCAAATGTCTACCTAATCAAGAGTCTTGATTGCGTTGCGTTTACAAATCACGTCCCTACCTCAAAGGTCAAGGTCACACTAACATATTGAATTTTCACATTATCACAAGTATTCAAAATAACTTGGCATAAATGTCTATCACATCAAGACGGCATGTCACGTACCCATGTCCCTACCTTCAAGGTCAAGGTCACACTTATAGTTTGAAGGTACTCATTCGCTCGAGAAGAGTTTGAAGATACACAATAATGTCTGGACTGTAACTTTGTCATGCACTGAAACATATTAAAATAACTTGGCACAAATGTCTATCACATCAAGACGATGTGTCGTTGCTAAGGCTTATGTCCGCCTGTCTGTCCGTCCCCACTTAAACAACAATCGTATTCAGACTGTAACTTTGTTATGCATTGAGAGATTGTGAGATAACTTAGCATAAATGTCAAGCACGTCACTACATTGTGTTGCGTCCAAGAACCATGTCCTTTCTTCAAAGGTCAATGTCACACATTTTGAAGGTTCATGCTCTTACAATTCGATATTATAGGTACTCACATTCATGTCCAGACTTTAACATTGTCATGCATAAATTTTTTATGGATTTTAAAATAACTTGGCGTAAATGTCCACTACGCCAAGACGACGTGTCGGTTCCATGTCCCTACCTTCAAGGTCAAAGTCACACTTATAATTTAAATGCTGTACACGTTTCCTGTCCGTCCGGACTGTAACTTTGTTGTTCATACCACATTAAGACACTGTGTCACGGCACTACCTAAGAGTACAAAGTCAAACTTAGAAATGAAGGTGCACATTTGTGTCCAAACTGTAGCTTTGTCATGCATGGAAGAATTTTAAAGTTACTTAATTGGCACAAACGTCAGATACTTCATGGTGATGTGTTTCATTTAAGATCCATGTCGTTAGTTTGTTTGTTTGTTTGATTGGGTTTTACGTCACACCGTTACAGTATACGTCATATGGCGACGTTCCAGCTTTACCGGTGGAGGAAGATCTTAACCACTCGGCCACGGACACCCCACCCATGTCCGTTAGTCAAAGGCCAAGGTCACACTTACAGTTTGTTGGTCCACATACTCACAAGTAGAGTTTAAAGTTACACACATTTGTGTGTGGACTGTTACTTTCTTATCCACGGAAGGATTTTTAAATAATGTAGCAAAAATATTATGTCTACCACAGGAGGACAACATGTTGTGTTCAAGACACATGCCTCTACCTCCAAGGTCACTTTTAGAATTAGAAGGGACTCATTTCCTCAAGAAGAGTTTAAAGATACACATTCGTGTCTGGACTGTAACTTTGTCATGCATTATTAACTAGGCACAAATGTGTGTAAGACCCATGTTTCTACCTGCAAGGTTTGAAGGTACTTATGCTCATAAGAACCGTTTGAAGATACACATAAGTTTTTCCAAGCTGTAATATTGCCATACCTTGAAGGATTTTAAAATAACTTAGCATAAATGTCTACCACATCAAGATTATGTGTCGCATCCAAGGCCCATGTCCCAAGGTGGTAAGTTTACTACAAAAAGCACTTCATTTCACAAGAACAATATTAAACAATTAGTTACTTTCATTCTTTTTTCTTTTCATAATACCTTTCTGTATTGCTTAAGGAACCTTTTCGAGGACATTCGTCACTTTTGCGTGACAGTTCTTGTTTTGTTAGCATTGAATAATGTATTATAAATTGATATAGACACAATCATTCATGTAAAAGCTTTAGTAACATCTGAGAATAATAATAATAATATCTTAGTGGACAAAATTAGGTTCATAATTTTGGTAAAATGCTTGTTCATTTTTTGTAATTAGATATTAATTAGGATTGAATTTAGGAACATTGGTTGCACAGGCATGAATTTCATTGACTTTTATCAATATAAATTTTTTTACCATGAGAAACAAACATTTTATTTTAGTATAAGTAATTCTAGCTAGCTATAAAGAATTGTTTAAACAATAATGTATCATTTTGATTAAACAGTACAGCTATGTTTCAAAGTTTATTAATTAAAATACTCCTTTTAAATAATAAACTTAATTTTTCAAGAATGTCTTTAACGACATTGTATACTTTTGTCATTTTCAAGTTGAATGTCAATGTTGTTTTTCTTCAGTTTACCTGGACCGGTACTCTGACTGTGATGGAAGACCAATAGAGGTTGGCAATTCAACTGTTTTCATCAGTGGTCAAAGCACAGAGTTACAGGTGGGTCATTTAACTAAGACACTGGGCATTGTAAGCAGTATGCATCTAGATTTATGCTGATTTTCATGAAAATTTGTAAAATATATTTGAAAATCAAATAATGTCAAGTGAACAAAGAAAGTAATTGATACTTTGCAGACAGCTCTTAAAATCTACATCAATTACCAAACAAATCGGTCATAATATGCAAATTAGACCTTCTTACCTTAATAACACAATAGAAGGAATAATCAATTGCATATAATAATCATGTGTAAATTATTTTTGAATTGTGAATATTGTTATTTTTCTGAAAATATTGTTTTCTTCTTCATTTTTTTCATTTTTCTCAAGATTGATTTTCCTAAATAATTTTGGCTCATCTGGAGGCATGCAGCATTTAGTGAAAAAAATAGTAAAAATAATAATACTTTATGAGTTACTTTTGTGTTTTTCTCTGTTTTACGTAATACTTGTTTCAAAGTTAAGATAAATATATTACATTTATGATTTACTTCAACTTAAAAAAAAATAATAATAATACTTTATGTGTTACTTTTGTGTTTCTCTCTGTTTTACGTAATACTTGTTTGTTTCAAAGTTAAGATAAATATATTACATTTATGATTTACTTTCAGATTTTTAATCTGTGCTGAAATTTGATCATCTTAATCTTTCTACGGTATTAAGGTACCATTTTATGTTTCTAAAAGTCATATAAATTTGAAAGACTGACTTAAAGCCAACCATAAAATAATATACAGGTACTATTGACTTAAATGTTGACTGTATATTGAGTTGAATCTTTTTCAGGGTCAGCCTGTAACATCATGCAGTGTTACATTAAAAACAACAAACAGAGTACCCTATAGATTCAAATTGCAGGTCATCAATATGCGAATAGATGATCCAGGTGTCCATTTCTACATACACGATGGTGAATTCCAAGGAAGATTGCTGGTTAGATTTTCTTTATCAAAATATCTCAGCAGCTTATATTTAATTGAAACTCTTAATAAGAAGGTTAGATTTACTGGTATAATTGCCAAAATAATGGTCAAATAATCATGTGGTTTATAACTGTAACATAGGAAATCTAACCAAACAAAAAAGAAATTTGGTCGATTTCTGACTAGAATATGTATTACTTATTACTTTAATATTTCTTTCTGTGTATAAATGCTAAAAAGAAAAAAGTCAGGAGGTAAGGGAGGTAACTGAATTAGCCAAGGCAACTTTTTGGTTTCTCTCTTAAAACGTTATTTTTCATTAAAAAGCAAATGTTTGTGAGGATATTTGTGTGTTTAGAGGACTTATAAATAGTTTCGAAGCGTATTTCACGTTAAATCCGGATAAGAAAAGTTAAAGAAATTGAAGTAAAAAGTGAAAATATGGAAATGTATGCGAACAATGGTGATAATTCAGAACAAAATGGCGGCGAAAAATCCAGCGAAATAACCAGTGTACCGTTAGTATTTTTGCATGAAAGAGATATATTTGGTTTTCCAAAGCCTAGCAACGCATATTTGAAGCATGAAGAGATGTATATAGCAATTGGTGAGGTAATTGCACCATCGCATATAACAGGGCTGCAAAGAATAAATGGATTATGGCGAATCTACGTGGAGAATTTGTCAGACAAGGCTAAACTGATGGCGAGTGGGGTAACAATACGGGGAACGTCTATTCCTATCAAACAAGTTAACCCATTTCTCCTAGATAGTGAGAGGGTGACACGTATTAGAATACAAAACATTCCGCTTTCGGCGGATGATAACATTATAAAGCATGTATTAATACTAAGAGGTCTCGAAATACGCTCATTTATCCATGAAAAACTCAGAATAAATGGTAAACTTACTAACTGTTTAACAGGCGATCGCCTTGTTACAGTTAAATCATCGTCCCTCAAGGAACCTCTTCATCGTTTCATGGAATTTGGTGTTTTAAAGGGCCGCCCAAAAAAAGTTAAAAAAAATTTCCTTTTAGGAGGAAAAAAATTAACCCTCCCCTTAAATCAAAAAAGTTGTCTTTTCAAATTTGGGTTCCCCGGGGGATTTGGTTTGAATTGCAAAAAGGGGGAATTTTTTGGAAGGTTCCCAATTAGGAATGTGGGTTTGCGATGGGGCCCACCAAAAAAAAAAAAAGGGGTTGTTTTTGTTTTTGGGGGGGAAACAGGCAGAAAAAATTTCAGGAACCCAAAAGTTCCCCCCGGGAATCTATTGGCAGCTCAGATTTCCAGTGAAGCATTTTCCCAGAAACCATTTGCTGAGGAAAAAAGTAATTTTTTGGGAACCCCGGAGCAAGTTTAATCCCCCAAATAAATTTTGGTAAATTTTTCCCCCTCCTCCCCCCCAGGTTTCACTTCCAAAAATTTTTCTACCTCCTTAATACACAAAAAAAAAAAATTTTCTACTTAAACCACTACCCCAAAACAAAATTGAAAACCCCCAAAATTTCAAACCCCCGCCCCGGGGAAAAGGAAAAAAAAAGGGCAAAAAAATTCAAAATTTTTCAAATTTTTTAATTTGAAAACTTTTTGGCCCGGCAAAAAAAATTAAAATTTCCCCGGAACCAAGTTTGATTTAAAAAATTTTAAAAAAAATTTCCCCGCCCCCAAAATTTCCCCAACCCCCAAAAGGGTTGGAAAAAAGGCCCCCCCCGCCAAAAAAGGAAAAAAAAGAAAATTAAAAAGTATTTTGCCCCGAAATTCCCGTTACGCCCGGTTCACCAAAGATCCCCGGCTAAGCCCGAAATTTCCCTTTTAACAGTACAAAAAGGAAAAACGGTCCCCCCAAATTTAAACCCGGGTTAAGGGGGCCCCACCCCCTAATTTAAGGAAACCCCCCCGAAAAAAAAAAATGGACAAAAAAAAAATTACGGACATCCCGATGTAAAAATTAAATTTCGGTTTTACCCCGGGCCCAAACCGGGGTTTATAGAAAACGCTGTTTCCCCAAAAAGGAAATTTTTTCCAGTTTTTTAATATTTTCTATTACTTTTATATATGACCCTTTCTTTTTCAAGAGTTTTTTTTATTAAAGAAAAGTTTTTTGCTAAAAAAATAAAAAAAATAAATTAATTTTATTTAAACTGAATAAAAATTTTATAAAAGAAATTAAAGAACAAATGTTTTAAAAAGGGTTAAAAACTATTATTAGGTTTGGAAAAATTTAATTTAAATGAATAGATTTACTGCAAATATTTTTAGAATTAGAAATTATGAATATGTTAAAAAAATTACAATTATATCATATTCTTGAAGAAAACTTATGGTTTTTAACAGTCATCAGTATTTTTATTTTCTCACAATCAATCGTGAAATTCATGATAACACTCATGCGCATAAAAACGATTTCTTTACAATGTAAACTTAGCCTGGTCATGGAAAAAGAACTAATGTACTATGGTGACTTAGCAGCTATGTTTGAAATACTGAACAAATATATGCGATTCTCGCTTTTTGATAACCATTCTTTAATGTTAATTAAAAATATACTCTTAAATTTCTTAAATTTTGTTATGATCATAGAGAATTTTCGTTTACATTTATTTAGTTATAAAATTCTCAATCTTGTTTACGACATAACATTGTTATATCTTCATAGATATTTTTACGAGAGTATTGGTTTATAAAATAGTATTGAGATTACATATATCAGTAAAATGTATGATTTATAAATGTGTACTATATACATTAGTCAATCTTATATTGTACACACGTTTATTTGGGATACACATGTATAACAGATGTAATCTGTATAACTGTGGTTGTAAATGTAATAAACTATTGTTGATATTTCATACGTTAGACGGAGGTTATTTTCATATAATTGAGCTAAGATCATATATGTTAATCAGAAGCAATTTTCATAAACTGATACACATGTTAGTCAGGTTTTCTTTTCATAAAATGGTGTCGAAATTGCATAGGCCAGTCAGGGTCTATTTTTATAAAACGTCAGTCAGGCGCTGTTTTCATGAACTGTTGTCGATATTAAATATGTTAGTCAGATATGATTTATATATATTTGTGTTGATATTATATATGTTAATTAGGTGTTATCTTTACAAGTTAAAGTTAATACTGATTATGTCAGTCCAAAAATTTGTTTTGTAAATTTATACAAAATAAGTCGGAGTTGAAAGATTACATTTTACTCTCTCTGCAATTCAATGGTATTTTTAGTAAATTTATGTTGAAATTAAACGTGTCGATCACATGTTTTTTTTTTCCATAACTTTCTGTTGAATAGTCTTATTTTTGTTATCGTTAAATATCATTACAATCTAAACTCATTTCCATGTAAAGATCAAACGAAATACATTTATACTTGTATCATTAATACATTAGGATCTCGATTAGTATACCAGATTTTGGTCCGAATGATATGCTATCATTATAGAGCTGTATTAAAGAATTTTGTTGAGGGCATAATATCTCTACACTTTAAAACCTACTTTGTACAAAGTTGCGCTTATCAAGGTGTATCGAGAATATCTGCGTTAGTCAAATGTAATTCTTATACTTCTTTACTTTTCGTTTTCGTAGTTAAAGGGATATTTTTTACATTCCAGATACGTTTTTTTTTACAGTTATTAAATGCACTTGCAATTTTTGTTCAAGCAATAATATTCTCTGTAAGAACTAATTCCATATGAGTAATTATATTCAATTCTTATCACTTAATTGTCAAGGAATTAGACAGTTTGAAAAACGGGCAAGATTAAAACAATATATTCTGTCACAAAAATGCCAGATTCTTCTATTATCAGAAACGCATATAACGGTAGATATTGAAAACTTAATTGCAAAAGAATTTAATGAATGGCAAATATTTCACTCATTTGGCTCAAGTAACAGTAGAGGATGCTCTATCTTTATTAATAAATCTATACATTTTGATATTATTGACACTCTTAAAGATACGTATGGGCGCTATTTACTTCTAAATATAACCCTAGACAACAATGTTTACACTATTCTTAACATTTATGCCCATAATGAATTATCAAAAAGAAACATTTTTTTCCACGATTTGTCGAAAATATTAAATGAAAATGCTCAGGGATATATAATTGTCGGCGGAGACATGAACGACATATTACAATCATCCGATAGATTTAATGTAAACAACAATATAAAAATTAATCCCGGGAAAGGTTTTGCAAATTTTATTAAATCTAATAATCTGATAGATGTTTGGAAACTTTTTAATGAAAACAAAACACAGTTTACCTGGCGAAGGAAAAATGGTACAGAAAAAAGTAGAATAGACTTCTGGTTAGTTGAAAGAAAATGCAGTTCCGTTAGTAGTAAAATCCGATATAAGACCCGCTTGTATTAAATACACAGATCATCAAGCAATATTTTTAAAATTACAACAACCATCAAAACGCGGAAATGGTTACTGGAAGATGAACATTTCCTACCTTAAAGAGAGTGATTATAAATTATTGATAGAAGATACAATAAAACAATGCGAGCTTGCTTACAGAAACACAGTATCAAAAACAGACTTTTGGGAATTATGTAAATTAGAAATTAAAAATGCTTCGATTACATATTCAAAATGGCGAGCAAAAGAAAGAAAAGAATATATTATAGAACTTGAAACTAAACTTAAAATATTACAAAACAATAGTATATTAGAATCCGAGCAAATTGAAAAATTAGAAAAAAGAAATCCAAGAACTATATGAAACAAAGGCGAAAGGCGCACAAATAAGATCTCGAATAAATTTTATTGAAAATGGAGAAAAAAACACGAAATTTTTTTTGAATCTGGAAAAGTCGAGACAAACGCGGAAAACGATTAACTCACTTAAAATAAATGGAAATGTACTTTCAGATGAAACGAAAATTTTAAAAGAAACAGTAAATTATTACAGAACACTTTACACTTCTAGTAAAATTCCAACAGATCATATAATAACATACCTTAACACTATTCAGTATG